AAGCCCTCTTTTGCGCTTCCATGTGTTACCCCTTCTTTGGCAATTCAAGTACTCCCTTCATTGCAATAGTACTTTTCCATTTGTCTTCACTCTCGCTTCAATTATACGTACGAATCTTTCTTTCCTACCATGTCTTCTTGGCTACAACATAGCCATGTTCTAACATTAAAGTAGTTTAAATGGTGTGTGTGCTCGTATTGCATGCAGTACATTTTTTTAGTCCAAGGAAAGGTGGGAGGTAAAGAAGAGAGAATGTGGAGGGAGAAAACGACATAGCACGTTACAGATGATTAAATTCACCAATTAATATTTTGTAACCTTCTTTTGCTCCATATTTGTAGTTTAACTACATGAAATGACTTAATTAAGGAATAGATCTATTGCATTATTGAGATTCTTGTGTGTAGGTAGGCTTTATAATTTTTTTGTTTAATTTGAAGTTAATTTTTTTATATATAAAAATTACTTTGAATCACTAAACATGATTAAAATATATAATAAAGTAGTTTAGTCTTTGTCTTTTTTATTTAAACATGTACTTTTTAATTTAAAAAATATGAAAATTAAAATTTCAAATTTTAAACAAATTATGGCCAGTTAATTTTAGGGGTGTACTCATTTGTTGTTCTAATAAATCTCGTGCTATCATGGCATGCGTCATCTATTTAGAATGAAGATACATTAAATTAGTCCTAAAAGTTATGAGTATAGAGTGGTAAAATTATATTTTTCAACACATCTTTAATACACTTTTAATTATTAATTAAAATCTATTAAAAATTATAAAAAGTATAAGAAAAAATAATAAAATTAAAAGTAGAAATCAAATGATTTTTGTGATTGTTAATAAATTTTTGTTAAAAAAATTATCAAAGAGTGTATTGTTAACATGTGGGTATTAGTCAATTTAATTATTAAAATTACAAAAATATTATTTTAGTTTTAAAATTATAAAATAACAAAAAAAAATTGAATTCGTTCATTATACCTGTATCATTAAATAAAAATAAAAATAATAAAGATATATTATATAATTAATTTTAAATTTAGTTTTTAAATTAAAAAAATACTTTTATAATTAATAATAAACACTGTATTATATTGAATTAAAGAAATATATTTTTAAAATTAAAAAAATTAAATGCTTTATGTAGAAGAACCACATAACATAATGTAAAAGAAAATTAACTTTTAAAAATACTCTTACTTAAGAATAAAGACTTACATTTTATATATTAAAGACTAAAATCATCATAATAAAGACTAAAATTATCAATATTTAATAATTGGAACAAATTGAACCAAAATCATTGGTTGAGTGACCCAAATTTGATGGGATATATAGTGGTTTGGTTGGTTGAATATTCCTTCCCTTCGAGTGGGAGTATATGATTATAAGAATATTTGTTGGGGCCAAGACATCTTTGTAGGGCTAAATCAGAGTTTATCAAAATAAATCTAACTTAATTTTGACTTGACTTGAAAAGAATGTTTGGTTGGAATTCAAGTTGAATTTCATATCAACTGAATTTTTTTCAACTTAATTATGGCTCAATTTGGTTCACAGATTATTGTTTTGATCACAAGCTAAAATTACATAAATGCAAAGTAAAAAAAATAAAAAAAAAGAGTAAGTTATGTAAATTTTATTAATTATATTATCTCTCTTACCCATATAGCTGTATAATTAAGATTATTTTTAATTTTTTTATTAAATGTACTTTTTTTAATACGAGGCCTAAGATCCAAACTCTTATTTGTTATAAATACATATTTTAATATCCAACTTAAAAGTTTATTTAGAGTGTTTTTTTTATAACAAGACATATAACTTAGGTAAAAAAAAATGATTTCTAAACAAGTTCATCAACCTAAATTTAGCGAGATAAGTCTTTAAATACGAGCATATAATTTAACAAATGTTACAACAAAAAAATAATTAAATGCTAATATTATTTTTATGATAGGCTTAATTATACATATTTATTATTGTTAGATTAAAAAATTTTAGATAGCTAAAATTAAACTGTTTTATTTAAATAAGATTTAAAAAATAATTCAATCTATTTAATATATAGGCCTAATCTATTATAAACCTAATGAAAATGAGGATACAAATCCCCAATGAACAATCTAATACTTTTTTTGTTTGTAAAATATATTTTGGGTCCTTGTGGAGCCTTCATTTTGCACAGAAGGAACGACAGGCCCATGGGGCAAGTTCCTCTTAAGAATTAAAATAAGTCTTCTTTACCCACCCCTCCTTCGGGCCTCATAGACCCATGACCCATGGGTTAAAAATATACTGCATGACCCAAACCAAAAAAAAAAATCGAGAAAATATATTTTCTCCTCTTTGAAAAAAAAAAGGGTTTTATTTTAGAAAATATTTTCAATTATAAAAATATATTTTATATTTTATTTTTAAATATTTGTATGATAAATAATTAAAATATCTGTTATTTATTAGAAAATTTAAAAAAATATTTTTGAAACTAAATAACTCCCTGAGTTTAAAAAAATTGTTAGAAAATAAGATATCTTAGAATATCATGTTCCAAACAAAATTATAAATCTTACTGAACATTTTATTTTAACAATAAAATTGTAAAAATGAGATTTGATGTAATCTTACTGAACATTTTATCTTACTCTGTAAATATGGGCATTTACAGTTTGCTTTCTTTTACCAGTGAAATTGGGAGCATGATTTTGGCAACGCGTGTTGATTTCTTATCTTGTGTGAGTGAATTGATCTCAATCCCTTAAAGCATATGTATAAAAGAAGAGAAAAAAATTATATATATATATATATATATAACATTAACATGACATTGTTTTTACATTACATTTTTTTAATATAATTTTATTATTTTATAAATTTCAATAAGATAAAATTTTACATAATGAAAAAAATACAAAAAATATTTTTTATATTTATAATTTTTTTGTTTTTAAAATTTTTCAATGTTTAATTTGTATAAATAATAAAATTTAGCCCAAGAATTGAGATAAAATTATGCCTCCAAGCTAGCAATGCATCGCCAATGCTTGAGACACGACCAGAAGACCTTGGTTAATTGACATGGTTTCTTAATGTGGTAAAAGAAAAACATATATAGTTATAGGACGTCGACATAAGTCATATTGGAAGATTATAGTTGTAGTTCAATCTTATATATTACAAATTAAAACTGAGTTTGGAACTTAATTACATTAATAAATTATACTAAGAAATTCAATACAATGAATTAAAAAATTACAAAATACTTTCATAAAAATCTTATAAATACAAATACTTCACATATCAGTGATTGGAGTAAATTTGTTTGAGGTTTTTCCCCCCCTAAACAAATATAAGTTTTTTTTCTAAAAGAATCACGTCCAAAATATGCTAAGATGCTTGGTAAACTTTAAAAAAAGCGAGAGAATAAAAATAAATAAATTTATAGTATTTTGAGAATTTAATGAATTTCTAAACTAAATCTGAAGAATACCTTTTTAAACAATCTTAAAATCTCTTTTTTTTCTGGCCACTTCTCAGTCATGATGTGTGCATTTCTGTGACAATCCCTTCTTCCACTGTGCCTTTTTCTCAAATTGGCGATTTGAGGTTAGATTTTTCTTGCAAGAATTTTGTTAATTTTAGTTTTTAGAGAATGATAAGCAGTTAATAATAATAAAATTTAAAAAATTAATTATTTATTATATTTTTATAATTTTAATATAATAATTATGTATTTTTTTTATAAAAATTTTTATTTTTAAATATTTAAACTCAATTTTTAAAGTTGAGGTTAATAAAATTTTAAATATAACAAATTACTAAAATTTTATTGTTTAGTTAATCAAAAGTTTGTAAAATTTTAACTTAATTTATATGTTTTTTTTTTATAAATACAGTATTAATTTTTTTCTCTTTTACTTTATTTTTAAGTCCCTTCAACTGATATATTTCAATAAAAAAAATTAACAATTGACAGTAGACAATATTAGTCAAAAAAATTTAAAATAAAATTTGGAAAAAAAGCTAAAATTATATTTTAACAATTTTTTTTATTAAAATTAAGTCTAAATTTTATGACTTTTATAAAAACACTAGATCAAGTCTAATTTAAATTCTACATTCACAAATGCAGATAAAATTCTGATTCATGTACACCTTCTCATCATCTTGACCGTTTAAATATTTTAAAATATATCCAACGATCTTATTTTTTTCGGCAAGACAGGACCAGCAATGTAAAATTCAAAGACGACCATCTTAAGCGCAGCCTTCATATAAAAGATGTTGAGGCTCATAATACAAAATGTAGGATTTAAACAATAACATTTTAATCTTTTATTTTCTAAAATATTTTTGGTCTTTTTTTATTAACATAACTTAACAAAAAATTAATATATCATAACTTTTAATTATTAGTTCACGTAATAAATAAATTCATAACCTTAGTACTTGAAAGTTTGTTTATTATATATATTTTTGATAAAAATTATGTAAACAAAAAATAATGAGATTTAATATGTTATAAAAAATGAGTAATTGAAGCGAGTATAACATGTGGTGGGACAAAGAGCTAATTTACAGTTAAAACTTGTTTCAACTTTATATATTACAAAAGATTAAAAGAAAAATAATAATTTACGAGTGTCAAAACTACTGAGTAATGGAAGTCTTTCTTTAATTCTGTTCTTTTATATATAGAGATTAATTTTTTAAAATAATATTTTATATAATGATTAAAATAAAAAAGATATTATAAAATGATAACATTATTACGTGTAATAATCCTAAAATTTTATATGAAAACTAAAAAATAATTAAACTTAAAAATGAAAAAGGTTAAATAAAAAGTAAAAAATATAAGAGAAATCATATTTAAGCCAACCAAATAATGAAGTAAGATAATAGAAAATATTTTAATGGCGCCGTTTCGCGGGTTTATGAACTAGGTTTGGTTCAAAGTTAAAGCTCCTCGGTAAGTGAGATTTCATTACTGAAACAAAAAGTCATAAAAGCTCTTCTCTTCCACGTTCCAATCTAAGCTCATTCTCCCTCTTCCTTTGCTTTCCAAAGCACCCTTATCTATATGGAGGGTCCAATTCCAGTTTCACCAACCATCGCACGCCACGTGATGGCTGTGCCATACCCAGGTCGAGGCCACGTCAACCCCATGATGAACCTCTGCAAGCTGCTCGTGTCCAAGAACCCCAACATCCTCGTAACCTTCGTGGTCACCGAGGAATGGCTTGGCTTTGTTGGCTCCGATCCCAAACCCGACAACATCAAATTCGCCTCAATCCCCAACGTTATTCCCTCCGAACATAATCGAGCCAACGACTTCGTCAACTTCCTTCAAGCCGTTATGACAAAGATGGAAGCCCCTTTTGATCACCTACTCCATCGCCTTGATCTGCCTCCAACAATGATAATATACGACACTTACCTCTTCTGGGTGGTTCGCGTTGCCAACCGCCGGAGCATTCCCGTTGCGTCGTTTTTTCCTATGTCGGCGTCGTTTTTCTCCTTGCTTACACACTACCGTCTTCTGGACCAAAACGGTCACTATCCCGTAAACGTGTCAGGTCAGTTTCTTTCCATTCACCGCAAAGCCATATAAATTTATAGGTGTGTTTAAAAACATAATTACATATTTATTTAATATAGGATTTATCTTATTAAGTGCATGACAGTTATTTAAAAAAAAAATATTGAAATGTATTTCAGTACTTATTTAATAAAGTACAAATGTACTATTAAATACAATTCTTCTAATGCATTATTTAGTCCATGTAGCATTCCTCTTTCTATTGAGTCTATGTAGCCTTTAGAAGAGAGTTAATAATTATTTTCATATAGATTCCTCTAAACTCTTCCAAAGGCCACTAAATTACTAATTAAAGCTATTTGATAGGTTCATCCAGCAATCTAGCACTGAAGATAAATCTAAATATCTAGTAATGAACTATGTATAGATCAGAAAATTAAAGATGATTTTGATTTTTGACGGCTTCTGTGTATTGTTTAAATGGTTGCAACGGAAGAGGGTGAGAAACGTGTGGATTACATTCCGGGGAACACGTCAATTCGTCTGGCAGATTTTCCAAATAACGATGGAAGCTGGCAGAGCCGCAAATTGTTGCAAATGTCCTTGGATATTATACCATGGGTGCATAAAGCGCAATATCTGTTATTTTCTTCAGTATATGAGCTTGAGCCTAAAGCCATTGATGCTTTGAAAGCAGAGTTCTCTATACCCATTTACACTATTGCCCCTGTCATTCCTTATTGTGGTAATGGCCAAATTGATGGCTCTCTCAGCACCAACCATGCTGACCTTGGCTACTTTCAGTGGCTTGACAACCAACCCTCTGGCTCGGTGCTATACATCTCACAAGGGAGCTTTCTTTCGGTTTCAAGTGAACAAATAGATGAGATCGCGGCTGGTTTGCGCGACAGTGGTGTTCGGTTCTTGTGGATAGCGCGCTTGGAGACTTCTAGGTTGAAAGAGTTATGTGGGGATAGCGGACTAGTTTTGCCATGGTGTGATCAATTGAGGGTGTTGCAGCATCCTGCTATAGGGGGGTTTTGGTCTCATTGTGGGTGGAATTCCACTAAGGAAGGTATTTTCAGTGCTGTTCCTTTCCTTACCTCTCCAATTTTAATGGACCAACCCCTTAATAGTAAGTACATAGTCGAGGATTGGAAGATTGGGTGGAGGGTGAACGAAGAGGTTCAACAGAACACTTTGATTAAAAGAGATGAAATTGCTAGCCTTGTTAAAAAGTTTATGGATTTAGGTAGTGATGAAGCAAGAGATATGAGGAAAAGAGCCAGAGAGCTTCAGCAGCTATGTCGGAATGCAAGTGCCAGTGGTGGATCATCAGAAACTAATATGAATGCCTTTCTTGGGCATATATTACACGTTGCAAAGCCATAGAGTAAGATGTATGGTCTCGTTTTAATGCTCTAGTATCTTTTAGTATCTTTCAAAAGTGTAGGATCCGTTATCAAATCTCCTGATCATAAAAATTCATGATTCATGATGTGTTAGCTTCATGATGTGATAAAATAAACTGTCATATTGTTGGACGTTGGAAGATTTTGTTGCGTTAATAAAGAAGGGGAACCCTTACATGTGTTACATGGTACATTAGTAAAGGGTTCCTGACCTTCATGCTAGTTTTGAATTTTACTGCATGTGTTGTCTGTCTTTTTTTATATGTGTATTGTTAAAGCTAATTTTCTTAAATAGTCGGAGATCTTGAGCAATCTAGATCTGCGCTTGAAATGGCTGTTCTTGTATTTTACACGTGAAAAGCACACACGTTACTATCTCTAGTTACTGAATGTTAATGACACGACCGCGAAGGAACTGATGATTCGCCGTAAATTACGGTATGCGTTAAGAAGACATCATTTGTTAAATCCGAAGACCCAGTTCATTTATTTCCTATTATCTTGTCGTTGAAGGGGATTATAGATATGTTGAAACTGGGGGTTTTAATGTGTAATGATTTCTTAGAAATATCAAATTATCAATGATTCTAAAGATGATTGGAGGAAACTTTTACTGGCTGGCTTGTAGAATCTGAAAGGCAGAAAGATCGAATATGGAGCAATGTCAACAGAAGTTATAGGGAGGTATTAGGTGAAGGTATTGTAAATTTCCGTCCCACCTTTCAATATCTTGTTCAAGGCAGTATATATTTTTGCTATTGATAAGCATAAATTCTTGTTTCAAGCCGCTTTAGTTGAAAACAAATGGATTCCAACTCCCAAATCAACATACTAGAAAAATAATTGCAGAACATAACACTAACACTTATCATGAACTATCCTAAAAGTTTAAATTGTTGGGTGAAAGCACAAGAAACAGTTTTATATCTAAAACAGCCTTCACACACGAGTCATTTCAACTTGGAAAATGCATTGGCCTGTCTACCTAAGTTTCAAAATTTACCTTTCATTTTAAAATAGGGACAGTAAGGATCAAAGTGTAGAACAGACCACACATCACGTGGTCTTTCGTTTCATGCTATTCTAGATATGATAGTTTTTTGCCGATGTTTCATCAAGTTTTCCAATTACCAGGATCGGAGAAAAAGGGGTACAAACATTTTTTCCAATCTAATCTATTAAAAAAATGTCCAAATATAAGGGTGAGTTCACTTTATAAAGGATCCTTATTTAACACGTGTATATGTTTAATATGATCATTTTATATTATTCAGCAACATAAAAGAATCAAAGTCAAACCAAATTTGCCTGGATAATAAAATGAGATAATTTATAAAATTAATCTGAATTTACCTTAAAAATAAATTTTCTTATTTATATAATTGGCCATATTTAAATGTCATTTATGTTTCTTTTTATAAATATGAAATATAACTTCAAAACTATAAGTTAAGTTAGAACGCACATGTTTGGTAGTCATTGTCCAAGCATAGTATTCACTTTATTTTTTTTATGACTTTTTCTTTTAAATTTAATCTAATTTAACTTGCAAATATTCTTAATTTAATAATTTTGTCATGTATTTAACCAAAAAAATTATGAATACATAACAATAATAATTATATTAAAATATACAAACAATATAATATTTAATTATGAGTTGTTACATTATTAAAAATTGTTGAGTTTTATAATAACTATATTAAAAGCTACATTGACAACACTTTTTAATTAAAAAATTCCAATTAATGAACAAAAAATAAAATTTTATTTCTCATAATTAGATCAAAATTATATTTATTTTTTATTATAGAAATGAAAGGATTAGTTTATAAAGTAAATATACTAAATAAAAATAATTTAATTTGAGTGTACTATCATAGTAATGATTTTTTTTTTAATTTTATGATCAATTAAAATACATGGTTAATATAATTTTATATTAACTATAATAGAATTTAATGATTCACGTTGATGATAGAATAGTGTCCGATTGAATTACTGTGTAAAAATGATATATTTAAATTTAATTTAAATAAAAATAAATATATTCATTTTTAAAAAAAATATAAAGTATATTTAATAATTAAAGTAATTTAAAAATGTAAAAAAGTGAGAGAATTTTAAAACATATATGTAGTATAAAAGAATACTCTGTCTATTTATACAGGAAGTGAATTATTAACTAAAATAATTTTCTTAAACAGTTTATCAGTTGTATTTTTTTAAAATTAAGATTGTTTAAAATATGAAGTGGGAATTACACTCTACTTCATTACAATGACTTAATTTTTTTAAAATTTTATTTCAAATTTTAAAATAAAAAATACTATTTCATTTTTTATTATTTTATATAATATTTTAATACTTAATATATTATTTTAAAATGAATTAAATTTAAATTTATTATAATTTGTTATATTTTATACATGTTATGTGTAAGATAGAGTTAAGTTAAGGTAATTTTTTTAAAATAATATTTTAAATAATAGTTATTCCTGAGAAGTATACTGGGAGAGAGACAAAAGTGAAACATGAAAAAGCCTATGATTCCCAAAAATTTGGAACCCTACCTCGTTATTTAATCAATCAAGCACAGATGCAAAGTCCACAACGCAGTCTTCGTGTTCAATCCAGCCTCCATCTTAGACTTTCCATTGCCAAAACCACTCATCCCAATCACAAGACAGAACTGCAAAGGAAGTAACCCTTATCTTCTCACACAGCACCTTCCGATTCCCCAGGAATGCAACAACCACTCCTCTGTTTTGGCACTCGATAATCATAATCTTTTATGGCCCAAAAACAAACTTCAGAAAAATCCCCAAACCAAAATATCAATCCCCTCACAAAATTCCCAATTCTCACTATATATCCCTCCTTTCATACCCTAATCACCTAATTTTAATTTTAATTTTAATTTAATTTTTTTCTTTTGAGAAGTAATGGCCACAGACGCGAGGGCTAAGTTCCAAAACCCTGATTTGCGCTCCGATTTCCATTCGGACTTAACGGTGTCAAGTCACGACGGTCTTCACTTCTGGCAGTTCATGATTGCTGGATCCATCGCTGGGTGCGTTGAACACATGGCTATGTTCCCCGTTGACACCGTTAAAACCCATATGCAAGCCCTCGGTTCCTGCCCCATCAGATCCGTTACGGTCCGTCAAGCCCTTCGTTCCATTCTCCAATCCGAAGGCCCCTCCGCTCTCTATCGCGGTATCGGCGCCATGGGCCTCGGCGCCGGCCCCGCTCACGCTGTTTATTTCTCTGTCTACGAGACTTGCAAGAAGCGCTTCTCCGACGGAAACCCCAATAACGCCGTTGCGCATGCCGCTTCCGGTGTGTGCGCCACCATCGCCAGTGATGCAGTGTTCACGCCCATGGACATGGTGAAACAGCGGTTGCAGCTGAGTAATAGCGCTTACAAGGGGGTCTGGGATTGTGTGAAGAGAGTGATGAGTGAGGAGGGGCTGGGAGCGTTCTATGCGTCGTATAGGACCACCGTGGTGATGAATGCGCCGTTCACCGCCGTGCACTTCGCCACCTATGAGGCCGCGAAACGAGGTCTTATGGAGGTCTCGCCGGAGAGCGTTGATGATGAACGGTTGGTGGTTCATGCCACTGCCGGGGCTGTCGCCGGTGCTTTGGCTGCTGCGATTACAACGCCACTTGATGTTGTTAAAACTCAATTACAGTGCCAGGTATAGTTGTAATTATAGCTGTTTATTGAATTGGTGATTGCTTTTCTTAATTAGATTTTTAGAATTGGTATATTTAGTTTAATAGAGTTTGACTTGGTTTGGGCATTCCTTCTAGGTTTAAATTTTGAACAATGTGGTATTTCTGGAATTTGTGTCTTGTGGTGTGGAAAAGAAGTGGATAGCAATATCTTGTCAAATTTGAGTGTGTGATAATTGTATTTGAATGGAGCTTAGATGCTATTGTCGCTAATCTCTCCTATCCTTTTTAGTTAGTCTCAGGATCTGTTTTGTGTACATGTGGATGTTTAAAAACGGTAGAGAATGTATTAAAAAAAGTGTGATAATCATTTTTGCTTTTAGTTTGGTAATATTCAACCTATGGTGCTCCAAAATGAAGTTGTGCTCTTGGGTCTTCTATGTCTTCTCTGTTGTGTAGGATTTCTTTTCCTTCTTTTAGTTGTGCCATGACCTCTTTCTCTGACTGAGAATCTTTCTTCTATCTAAATTAAGAAACAATGAAGCTGGGTGCCAATAGGCTACTAGTGTATTTTGCTAAGGGACATGTTTATTATTAGAATGTAGAACTTTTGCATTAACGTATGGAATTTGGTATATTGCCCATCTAATCTGTTAGCCTGTCCTCCTTTGATAGAATATGACATACCCCCTTAAATCCCCACTAAAGTTTTGATTTTCCCTATAGTTGATAATATCTCTATTAAGTTTAATGCAGAGAGGGAGAGAGATGGTAAAATTTAGACTTTACAAATGATACCTGAGTAACATAAGAAGAAAAGAGTTATACTCAGATGAACCATTGGCATATGTGGGGAGTGAGGACTGAATTGAAAAATAGAGAAAGGAAATTTGACATTGATTTAATTGAGAAAATGATGACCAACAGAGAAGGAAACCTGCTAGAAATATGGTGAGAGAATGAGGATTCATGGTGTCTCTGAGTATCCCAGCATGAAATTTTTAGAATGTTATTGAATGTTAGTGTTGTTGATTTGGCACTTGGGCATATTAACCTTGGATAATCTTCTTGTCTAGGTTAAGGAGCTGACATAATCTTTATACATTTATATCATCTTCTCTCATTGCTTGTATCAGGATTGTTTTAGGTTTATAAGACCAACAATGATACATCAGAATAATTTAAAATTTTCCAGTTGAAACAGAAGGTTTTGAGTTAGATTGGGGTTTCTGCAATCATGTCAGGAATATTATTATTATAGTGCAATGTGATGTTTGATCTAGTTGATACTTCTTTATTTGAAGATTGATTGTGTTACAACTATTATATAAATGTATGGTAGGGTTTACAAATGATAAGTCTGGGACTGGGAGAATCAGACAGCTAATTTTTTTTAAGCTCTTATCTTTCCATTCCTTGGTTAATATATCTTGACCTGGTTGATGGTGCAGGGCGTCTGTGGTTGTGATAGGTTCAAAAGTGGTTCAATTGGGGACGTCATCAAAACGATAGTGAAAAAGGATGGATACAGAGGGCTCATGCGAGGATGGATTCCAAGGATGCTCTTTCATGCTCCCGCAGCTGCTATTTGCTGGTCTACATATGAAGCTGGAAAGTCTTTTTTCCAAGATTTCAATCAGCGGAAAGAGATCGGCACTGTCACCTAAGTAACACGAGTTAGAATATTCATCATTCTTCAGTTCCATTATGTAGATGATTCTGTCTGCCAACATTGATACAAGTGCTTCAAACGGGCGTGAGCAAGCAACGCTTGCTCATTTTTCTTGATACAAGTTCTCAGTTCGAACTTCAAATAATATGCAGAAGGCATCGGATTAACATGAGTCCAAAGCTAATTTTTCTTGTACACATTGTGAGTTTTAATTAAGATTTCTTTTTTCTTCTTTAGCTTTTTGCTAGTTTCATTTGGATAGAACATTATTCCATGAAAACATCTCCACGCCATATGAAATTTTTTCCTTAGTTTCATGGCAATGTAAGTTTTAATTATGTAAAAGATTATTTGATATTCTGAAATTCAAGGAATCTCATTTCCTGCCAAAATTGTTGTTTGTAGTATTTATCTTTTGCACTTTAGTTGTTCAGCCTTTGAGAAAGCCAGGTAGAATAGGTTATTAACTTCGCTGATTATGTCTCTTCCTTATTTTCTATTAATTATATGATAATTTGACAAAAAAAATGTGTAGAGTTATGTCAAAATGTCCAATAACTGGGAGCTAACCTTATGATATTATTTTCAATTCGTTCATTGCAGCTTGGAGATTCAAATTAGGATGGGATACATATCATATGATGAGGTTTTATGAGATACTTAGTTGTCTGCATTTTTAATTCTCAGAATTTCAAAATAAGTATTTTAAACCTGTATAAAATTCATTTAAATTTATTCTCAGAATTTCAAAATAACTACTTTTATAAGCGATGTGGGAATCTTAGCTTCTCATAAGATTTAAATAGATCTGGGTGACTAGTATGTTTAAGCATCGATTAAGTATTTAAGAAATATTTTTTTTTAATAAAAACTTGGTAAGAAAGGATTTGCATCATGTATTTTATTTTTTGATAAAATTCTTCTCTTGTAATCTTTTAATGGTTTTTGAGAGAATTTGCCACTTTAGAAAATTTATGTTCATTCTACAAAATGATTTCAGGCTAAACTTCATTTATGGAGATGAATTTGAATCTCTTCCTATTGTGCCAGGAATTGAACATAATTTTTTTTATATATAAAATTAACTTTAATAAATTTTGTATTTTTTTTCTTTCTCTCTCGTACCTAACGATCATTTCTCAATTTATATATTCAAGTTTCTTTTTCTTCTAATACCTAATTATTTTCTTCCTTTCACTTCTCACTCAACTCTTCTCTTTTCTTTATTACATATTCAACTTATCTCTTTTTCTTTTCACTTTCACCTGTGTACCCACATTTTTCTCTTTTCTTTATATGCAATTTCATCCTCCTCTCTTACAAATATCATACTCTACTTATTCTTCTCATCTCTATTCATCCTCAGTTCCCTTTTTTTAAGAGTACAAAATTTACTTAAGTGAATTTGTAAAATTTACTTAAGTCAACAAAATTTGATTAGACTAATTGTGTCAAAAAAATTTTATTGTCTTTTCTATTTTCATTTAAACAAAAGTTAAGAAAAAGTGTAAACATTCAAAAGTTATTTGTATTTTGTTATTTTTAATTACTATTTAGTTTTGGAATCCTAGAATATGCTCTCCCCATGCTCTTTTTACTTTGTATATATCAATTAGAATTGATGATGCACCTTTTGTTTGTGTTGGAGATTGTAATATGTATTATTTTTTTTATTCGTATCAATTTTTATTATTTTTATAATTTAATTTTTAAATGTGTTTAATATTTTTTAAAATTAAATTTTAGAAGTTATTTATAAACTAAAGAATATAATTTTTTAAAAAAGTAAATCATTTTCAGAATTTAATTTTTGAAAATAGTTTGTAAATGATTTTAGAATTTGATTTTCAAAAATAATTTATAAATAACTATTAAATTGATTTTTAAAATATATTGAATATTATAGAACAAAAATAAGGTAGTGAGCAACTACTAAGATGGGTAGTACAAAAGTAATCTTTATCTTTGTTTTGGGCAGCAGAGACCTTGAAAAATTACCTGTATCATCTGCAGTTTTGACGGAAACTGCAGACTGCAGTTTTTCGCTCACTTAATCTCACTTAAGCGAATTTTGACAAAAAGTGATTTTGACTTAAGTTAAAAAGAATTACTTAAACTAATTTTGCTTAAGTTAGAAAAACTCGTTTAAGCGAAAGCGAAAATACACTACAACATCTTCTTCTTTATGCCTATTTTCGTTTAAACGAATCCAAATTTGCTTAAGTAAAAATACGTAGAAAGATTATTCTCGCTCTCTCTTTCTCTCTCTTTCACCCACTCACTCAGCCCCTCCTTCTCTTATCTCTTTCTTTTCCTCCCACTCTACTCCTCCTCCTCCTTTCCTTCTCACTTAACAGTTCTCAATTTCTTCTTCTCTTTCACCCAGCTCCTCCCATTTCCCTCTCTTTCCAATCTAGCTACCTTCTTCTTCCATCCCTCTCACTTAGTCCCTTTCTTTCTTTCCCTTTCCCATCTCTTCTTCCTTCAGCCCCACCTAATCTCCTTCCCTTTCTCTCCTCATCTAGCTCTCCTCCCCTCCCCTTCACTCCCACTCATCCTCCTCCCTTTCTCTCCTCATCTAGCCCTTCTCCTTCTCTCCCTCTCCTTCGTGCTCTTGCTCCCATATCTCTCTTAGCCTCTCTTTCTCTCTTCTTCTTTTGATTTTTTTAGTCATTCTTTCAAAATTCACTTAAATGAATTTTTTTTACTTAAGCGAAATTGACTTAAACAATTTTTTTTATTAAGTCAAAATCAAGCGATCTGGATCCTGAAATATTTCATTGTTTATTTATGCTGATGTAAGACCACAATCACATATACTCTGTGTTTGAGTATGTTGTTTTTATTTATTTGTGGTAGAATGTCAAGATACAAATGGATTGTGCTACATCTTGTTGGTAATTTTCAGTGGAATAATGTTTGAGACTTGGATTATGTTAGTGGGGAATTATCATTCTGTCTTTATTTGTTTGTTTTAGAATTTCAGAATATAAATGTATTGTGCTACATGATACATTCATGATGGTAATTTTCAGTGGAGAGATTCTAGATTTGGAATATGATCATGGGAAAGGAAGGGCATGGGATTATGAGATGTTGATAAGTTGTCCTTGATAATTATAGGCAATAAGAGCTACATTATAATCTAAAATTTATTATTTTTATGTTGTGCTTATATAGCCAGTGAATAAAGGTTTAAGGTGGTTCACGGGAATATAGACCGTGTGATGATGCTTAATGACATTAGTTATGATAAATAATTTAATTTTTATTTTTTACATGAAAATAGATTACTAGTATTTTTTTTTCTAAAGTCAGAGATTATAAGATGATTAGTTGATTTTCTTGACTTATTTCTTATGTGTTATAAACAACTTTTATTTTTTAAAATGGTTTTATTCAATTGATTTATTTATTCTAGATAAACTTATACATGTTAGGTCTCATTAATTATATATTTTTTAAAATAATTGAAAAGGGAGACAGTTGAAAATGATAAAACCAATAAATAAGAGAGAAAAAAAACATAATTTACCTTTTTTCTAATTAGATAAAAGTGCATAATTACATGCATATAGATCGTTATTCAATTTGTCTGACCTTTTATTATTTTTTTGTAAACTGAAATTATACCAAACCTAGACATACACAAAACCAAATTTACTTTTTAACTTTAGTGTACTCAAAACCAAATTGGTCGATTCCTCAGTTTAATTCTTCTGAATGATTTGGTTGTGGCCAATGAACACCCAATAACAGACAAAATATACTCATCCATTCTGAAGGGGCAGTAGGCATGTCAAGAATTTGAAACGAGAATAAATATCATACTTAGATATTGACATGAGGAAACTATATGCGGTCAAATGGGGTTGATCAGCACAAACAATGGAGCAATTTACACTGGGACTGGTTAATGTAATTGGTGATAATGTAACAGATTCAGAAGTACAATATTTGGATTATTTGCCCTCCAATTTATTTTTTTCTTGCTGTATATCCTATTTTCACCTTGCTTTTAAGCCATTAGCAGGGGCTACATTTAACTGCAACATATCTGGCTTGAAATTCCTTCAGGATTTTTTCGGTTGCCAAAATTGGTGCACTGTTCCAGTCTTCACAATTTCTCTGTGAAGCAAACAACTAATAAGTGACAAGAATTGGTCAATGTGTATTGCATAAATTTGCCAATGTTGGATTTCACTTGTCGGATGTTCCTGCTTCATGCATAAGTACAGTAGAAATCTATCAGTGGGGATTTTACTTTTGGTTCCTACTAAATCACTAATATGCTATATACTTCAATTTTATGCAAAAAATTGAACCACAACTAAAATCCATTTAGAGCAAAGTCTTTTCTAATTGGACTAATTTTTTATTGATTCATCTTTTAAAAGAGTGATCAATTCCATGATTCAATTTTTTTTTCTTCTCTTTCCCCTCTTTTCTGCTTGGTTTTCTAGAATGTTACATAGTTTGATACCAGTGCAATAATTTTACATCATTCTGCTTTTCAAGAGATTTTTGGGATAAAAAATAGATTTGAGAAATGCTAGCAATACACTTTTTGTGATTGGTCTATTTTTAAAAAAAATCAAATCACTGTCTCATAAATCAATCATTTTTTAAAAATTGCTTTGACTATTTTACTCTATAACTCAGTTCCAAAAAGTGTATTGAAAAGTGTGCTCAAAAGAGTGTAATGTTAGGATTCCACAACTATACAAATTTAGGTGTAGGGGGCACCCACAGTGAGTGAAATGTGTCAACTTGCAAATGTTGCAACACCAAAGTCTATATTGTCTTTGAATAGTAATCACTTTCAAATATTCAATTGAATCTGTAACAGAACAATCAATAATAGACAACCAACTAGTAAATTAATATACCTGTTGCATCATTTTTGTGTCTCAAGTATATGCAGCAGCTTGAAGTTCATTATGTCTGTCCCTTTTGCTCCGTATAACTCTTGCGTTATTGTCTATAATTTCTAGAACCTGGAAAATATGAACTCTACCGTAAATTCCAAAAACTACTTTTAAGTCAATCAAGATTTGAAAGAAACAGGACCTAACTACAAGATAAAATCAATTTACTTTTTTACATAGTTGAAATGTTAACAACAGTGCTACTTTCCCACAAAAAATCCAAGGCTTTTCTATGGGGAGTGAGCACCGGGCACTGTCCTGAAGAAAGGTTCAGAAGCACATAATTATCTCTCAAAATATTTAGTTTATAACTAAAGTATTTATTATTTAACGAGTCACACACAAATGTTTAACTGAGCCGTGGCATTGTTTTACCTCTGGTCTCGAATTAAGAACTCCGCTGGACATTCCAACATCTATGCGCCATATGCTACAATTGTATTTACTGCAAGAAGCAAAGAACTCATTTCAATAAATAGAATTATTCCATCCACAACGCACTAACAGACCTAGACATTGTATAATCACTTAAAGTTGTTAAACTTCAAGTATGGTAGATATACGAATTATCACTACATCTAAAAATTGAGATTTGTGACAGCTTGATCTTGAGGTTATTTAAACCATGTTTGAAGAGTTAGCTTCCCTTACCAATTTACACCTATAGTTTGAGGAGTGTGCCCGACTACCATTGCCTTAGCACCAACTGCTTGCAGTGTCTCCTCAAGCATGGAAAATACCTAAAGATCATATTTAGTTTCAAAAAGTCAATCCAAGTCAGCTAGAGACAATTCCATTAATCTTCTAAGGATCTCACAAAACAAGTTAAAGAATGTTAGTAAGTAATTGGACATAAATTAAGAAACATTTGAAAAAGCAACACAAAAGTCCCCATACTAATTTGAAACTGTTTTTGACATTTTTCGGTAGCACTAAAAAAAATATTGTGGGTGCAAAGATGGAGTCAAGAAGCTTGCTTTGGAGGAATAGACTACTTGCATTTCTGGAGACACCAGATGGACATTATTACACGCATGAAATAAATTTGAAACTTCTTGGATGCATTTTTTTGTAAAGATTCATGTTTCTCTAAGGAGAATTGCACTGACCATAACAATGTTTTTTTTTTGTTTCAAGGGGGGCAGGGATAGTTATTGACTTATGTTTCTATTAACCCCACATTAAATCTTCCTATTAATTACAGAATACTGTCACAATCTTATTAATACATTTACCTGTTTATCCGGATAGTCCACCAAATCCTGTGAGTCTCTTGAGTATAAACGATTCCAAACAACACTATCATAACCCCTAGTGGCAATAAAAGGGAGTTTGACAGTATTGTCATTCTCATGCAGACCTCTCATATAATTGGACACTTCTTTATTCATCCTCTCTATGCCATATGCAACTACAGAAAATGAAAGGGGAAGAAAATGTTGAAGAAAATAATATCTGCCATTTGGAATTAGATTAAAATAGAACAAATTTGAAACAGGCAACCATAGCATTATAGTAGACACTGCACAAGTAAAATATCCATCTCAAGTCAAACAAAATGAAAATGCCATAAAATATTTACCATGATGAGGAAGAAGGCCACCGTGACAGAAGATCCAATCATTGACCTTAAGTACAACAGCATGCCTTGCAAGCTCACGTGCCAGAGGCCCACCGGGCCTAAAGAGGATTGATCTGGCAATTAATCCCTTTTGTCTCTGTTCTAATAATTGGAAAACTTTATCAGAAAACAACAATAAAATATCATATTTTTAATAACATAGAGCTTCTTTTTGAAATAACAAAACTTATGCTGTACTAAAAAGATGACAAATTATGATCCCAGATACAAGTACATGATCATATAGGTCTCTAAGATTTCCCTTTATTAGCTTTTGATCAAGAGGACAATTTTATTGATTCCAAATTATGTAAATCTCTTCAGTGAGTTCAAATTATCATGTTTAATATAGTTATATCGATTTCTAAAACTCATTTAAGTATGTCAATTACTTAATTATTTTATTATAATTCAAATTTGTTACCCTTAGTTATCTCCTAAATGAGTAAAATGTACATTTGATTGCGTCTAGCAAATCATAACTTTGAAGGGAGAGTACTGTTAGATATAATATAATTCATGTGCTTTCACTGTGTAGTGTATACTTTTGAGATAATTTATTCACGACATGATATCGAAGTCTTGCAACCATGGGTACAAAGTTTGATCGTTGTTGCTATAATTTTAGTATAGTTGGTTCAAAACAAGTATTTACACTAATTTAAAACAAACATCTATGCTAAGTTTTTCAATTCTTTTTCTAGTATGTTGATGCGTTGAATTGGGCGTAAGGATACAACTTTTTTTAGGTAATTCAACCAAAGCAGTTTGAGAAACAGAAATTTATGCTTGCTAACTATAAAATATAATTACTATACATGTTAATGAAAAGTAGGCCAGAAATTCATAGTACCTTCACTAAATTCCATGGTCCCCAATAATTTTTTGACATTGTTCGATTTTCTTTCCACCTTTCAGAGACATCAACCCAACCAGTAAAAGTTTCTTCCCAATCATTTTTAGAACCATTGATATATTCCAAGAAATCATTGCATTCATCAAATCCCCCAGAGTCAACATATCTGAAATCCCCTTCCACATTCATGGTCTCATGGTTTCCATTCACCTAGGTCAAGCAATTTCAGCTAAGGAAATTTACCTCAACAAAATGATAATAGCTAAAAGATAATGGAACAGGTTCGTCAGATTTTACAAATAATTTCTAATTAATACTTATGTTAGAATATATGAAAATAACTTATCATATCTATCTTAGATTATCCTTTAGATTACTTTCCCTACTTCCCATTATCTTTTAGGATTGGTTACATATTTCTTTATCTCATGATTTGTTTTTCTTATTTAGTTAATATTTCTTACTAGTATTAAAAAAAGTTACTGTCCTAGGTTTTGCACGCACTTCAATATATTGTAATACATTTCATTATATGATAGAATATTATAAAAAATCTCTCTTCTCACTATTCTCTCCTTCAATGCCTAAAATTCCATAATTTCAACAACTTAGATTTAGATGAAGACAGAAGCTTTATAATGTATCAGGAATTGTCATCTCCTAGGTGGTGTTGTTTGTAACATTCAGTTATTAAATATAGTAAATTGAGTGCTTTATGTCTGTGTAACAGTGACTGAAACGTTTTAAGTTTCAAAGTCACAAATGACAAACCTGAAACACAGCTCCACCTTTTGCTTTTGCCTGTTGATCCAATGAGCGCAGTAAGGACAAGATAGCAATTTCATCTTCACCTCGATCTAGTATATCACCTAGTTGAACCAACACCTAGTACATTGAGGGGAAAAAATTATTTGTTAAAATATGTCAGCTTTAGGATATATATATATATATATATATATATATATATATATATTGTTTAACTTTTGTCAGGTGTGCAGATAAGCGAATGACCATAAAGTTACCTCAATTTCATTTGCATAGGTTTGATCATTCCATAAATTTAGTCATTTTCAACAACTTAATTACATCAAATTGTATAATAGAGGCTACTGATTCCCATTAAGAAAAAAAAAATCTATTTGAGAATAGTAAGCATACAGATTCTCCACCAATCCATAAGTCTTGACCATCAGAGCTCAATACACCAGCCATTTCAAGTGCATATCTAGCTTGCTTAAGATCTCCATGTAGATCTCCAACTGTTCAAGAAAATTAGCTTCAACAAGACATATCAAAGACAGACAAAATGCAATAAAAATATAAAAAATAGACCAGAAAATGATTATCAAGAACACCATCAAGATAGTGAATTAATCAAAGGACAAAATCCTGTCCAAAGAAACTTCATCACTTCGACTTTGACCATTTATAATGAAGTTCCACAATTCTAGACTATAAAAAGAGAAATGAAAATACTTATTCATATCCACCACAAAAATCAACAACAACAAATAGCAAGAATTAATAAAGAAGTATCAGGAAATACTAAAGACAGAGAGATGTGTTTGAGATTTCTTAATAAAGATTCCAAAATCAAAACTAAGACCCCAATTTACACATCAGCCATAAATTTGTAGCAGCTCAACAGCACTTCAGTTCAACTTTAATCGAAGAATCATTAAGTTGAATTTATAACTATAAGGTTCTTCTTTCAGTCTCATTCAGCTATAGTCCATGCGATCCATATTATACACATACTAATCAGGGTATGGTAACATCAGGCTTTTAAACACATAAACCTTAACGCCGAACCTAGGACCGCATAGTTTAGTGTCAAGACCTGATCCTCATACAATCGAACCAGCACACGATGGTATATGATCCACATTTTGATCATGCAAATTAATATTATTCTAAGCATTCAGCTCAAAAACATCAAATTCAAACACGAGTACTGAGTATTGACTACGGTAAGACCACAATATTACATAACGATCATTGGAAGCTGATGCAATTTTTTTTTAAAAGCAACAACAACTTAAGACTCTGCTAAGAACATCCAAATTCCCAAATAAAAATTAGAAAGCAAACAAATGGATGCAGCAAAAAACTCGGAATAAAAAAACCAAACCAGCAAGAATTCTGCGACCAGGAGCAGAAACAAAACTAGGAGGATCTCCACTGACAACAATGGGTTTCAAGGAACTTCCTAAGCTATGATTATTGTTGTTATGAAGAAGCAAAGAAGAAGAAAGTGAAGTTTCGGTGAGCTTGCGAGGATGAGAAGGTGGGGGAAATGGTGATGAGTTTATACAGAGTGACGCCATGTTGATGTTGGGAAGATCATTTACTATGTTCGCATTACTCAACTTCCAATGAAAACCACAAAAGAGACCGTTTTCTGACACAAAATTCACAGAAAGCTCCTCAGCCAAGCATTTGGTATCCGTATTCGTTTCTCGTACGTGAGAACTAAGAAGATAGCATTTTATTTTTAATGCGTTTCTAGCTTCTACTTTATGCTAACTTTTTCCAATTTTATTTAGATGATAATAACAAATAAAATTATTATTTTATTTTAAATGATGCCTGTATTATATCTCTATTTTTATTTAAGGAAACAGAAATAAATATAAGTACCAAATTAATAATTACAACTTTTTAAAACTATAGTATTCATTAATCCAACAAAATAAAATTACATATTCTTATGTGTTAATCTATTTATATTATAATTGAGAGTTCGTCGTCTGACTTTTCTCTCTACTTTTTCTCCTAAAATTATTACACCATACACACGTGTGTGTATATATATATATATATATATATATATATATATATATATATATAACATTGAATTCTTAAAATAATATATAGATTATATTAAAAAAATATTCTCTTGAAGATTAAAAAACCCTAAAAATAAGTTGTTAGATGATCCATCAATTATAATATGTATTGACAACAATAAAATATATTTATAAAAAATATATAAATAATAACAAAGCATTTTTTTATCATAAAGTTTAAATATTTTATTTCATGAACAAAATATTATTGTATTTTATATAATAATAATAATAATAATAATAATAATAATAATAATAATAATAATAATACCGTTTCTCGGTATTAGGCGAATAGTTTTTTTTTACCTCCTTACAACGTTGATGTTACTGTTACGAATATAGCTCAAACTCTGGATAAATATCATCAACTAAATAGTACTTCATATTATATGTGGTTCCATTTATTGTAAAGTGTAGCTTAAGACCTTACTCTTGCAAAGTATTGTTAAAGCTGGTTGATGACATTGATGTGGTAATTGAGCTCATAATGCCAAAATATTCATTTTAAATTATAAGTTCCAATGCTTGACCCTCAATGATGAACAGAATTACAATACAGATCTTGAAAATTAACTGAGTACTCAAACCAACCTTTTTGGTTTAGATTGATTGAATTGGTGAGTTGACTTAGTTCCGTGATGATCCTACTTCAACTAGTTTGACTAACACATTACATGAATTTGCGAAGGAAGATATATTTGAACATACATTTTTGTAAGATATTCTTTGAAGCCTGCCATTTTTGGAAGGAATGCTAGTACAGTTCAGGTCCTCCAGGAAGAAATCGTAGGAAGTTGGTGGAAGCCTCCAATCTGCACCAATAATTCCAAACATATTAAAGAAAAAAAATAACCAAACAACAAGGCAATTAGTAGCTTGATTATCAAATACTACAAGAGAAAATGCTTCTCCAAATATACAGCATTGAGAACATGAACATTTTTTTAGGAACATGCTCTGAAAGAGACTGAGAGCACTTGGGCTTTGCTAGCCTCAAGTTCATATTGAACAATGGCCAAAGATAATACTATGCTTATGATTTAATTATAGAGATAGATTAGGAGAGTTTTATGTCCTAATGTGTTTTCACACCTAAGGAAACTTCAGTAGTACTTTTTAAGTTACATCAACGCTTCAATAAGTTTTGTGCTAGGACATATTTGAGTTAGAATTTATGTCTATAATTAAAATAGGTTTAGGTTATAAATTTGAAGGTATATAGGACTCCTATGATTAATTGAAACTAGACATATCCATATGCAAGTTGGCCTAATCCTAAGTTTAGAAAAGAAAAAGACTAAACTATCATTTTGATCATTGAAAAATTTAGCGTCAAGCATTTTAGTCTCTTCAATATTAAAAATGTTACTTTGGTATTTGACTTCCATCTTTGCTGGGTAGTTTAGTCCCTAAACTCAGATACCGTTATCAAATAATAATAAAATACTGTCATGTCACAAGGTTGATATAACAATATTACGTTGTTTAGAATAAGTGGAGTAATTTGTATAGTCAAATAGTACATAATTGAAAATTTTTTATTTTTTCTTTGACAAAGAATCGTAATATTTTTTTTCAAATTCTCTCCCAAATTGAAAATTGTAGCTCTATTTGGCAGTGAAAAATTTGAGATTAAAATATGTTGTACTCGCAAGAATAAGAATCACATGGAAGATTTAGTAATATTCTTTTTCCTAATTTTTTTGTGAGTTATTTTTCAGTTACAAAACTGAATAACAAAACCCTAATTTCTTGTGTGCCATTGAGGATGAAGACATGGTATTGGTGTTAGGTTTGTTTTGTTTGATTAGATTAATATTGTTTCCTTTCTCCATTGATGCTAATGTAGGAAAGTGAATATATTTTTTTGTTGTTTTGTGAGAAGAAAATAGTGGTCCTCCTATGTCTATTACGATTTTTTGCTTTTTAAAAGAAAAAGATAATGTGAATGGAAGTTGTCTCCTTTTTGCATGGTTTTACCCATTACTTCCATGTGTCTGCATTACTTTCATTATTTATTTGTTAAAGTAATTTAAAAATATTTATGTATTGCTGATTTATTTGATAATTTTATCTCTATTAATGTAGATAATATTGTTTTACATTCACCTGTAGACAGTTTTTGTGGAAGAATATGGGAATAGGAAGGAGTACAAGTGGGATAAGGTTAAAGTTTAGCTTGATAATAATGAAGACATGATAAATATTTTCAGTTTTATAAACTTCAGTAAGGTAATGGGGTATTAGGGTATACAAAATATTTTTTGGTTGGACTCTACTAAAGTGTTTAACGAAGGTTTAAATCCATTGAAATTTTCTGCTAATGTATTGGATATGGTGGCTGATGCTAAGAGAAATAAAGGAAAAGAGGAAAAATGAAAGTATATTATGAGCATGAAATTGTTGAACCATAATTGCTTGATGAGGATAAACTTAGACTATGGAAAGCAAAGAAGTTGAAGAACCAGGAATGGAAAGAGGCATTGAAGTTGAAGATATAGCAATAAAAAAAGAAGTAGAAGTTAAAGGCACAACAAGAGAAGGAGTAGAAGTGGAAGGTACAATAACAAAAGGAGTACAAGTTGAAGTTGAGAGAAAACAACGAAAGAAAAAGACAAAGGAAAAGGAAAAATGTGAGGGTGAGTGTGGTAAATCAAATGGGGAAACAAAAAAAAAAGAAGAAGCAAGAGAAAAGGGAAGGAAAAGGTAAGTGTGAGTCTACTAAATCAAAAGAAAAATAGAAACACAATAGAATGAGAAAAGAAAAAGGAAAAGGAAAAGGGTAACAAAAAGTAAACAGAAAGATAAAGAAAAAATGACCATAGTTGATGAAGAACATTATTTAGATGAAGAATATTTTGAAAATGTTATGAAAGATGTAAAAGATGTGGGTGATAGGGAAAGTTACCACTATGAAGAAAGAGAAGAACATTCAAAAAATTTAGGAGGTATGAAAAATTAATAATTCCAGTGAATTCATATGGTGAAGACAATAACAAAGAAGTTTTTTCTTAATTTATTGAAGCTGTCAAATTTGGAAATGTGCAATTGGAGCTAGGAATGAAGTTTGGAAGTTTAAAATCCTTCAAAACATGTGTTAAGGATTATACAATTCAGATGGGAAGAGAAATTAGGTGGGTAAAAAATGACAAAGTGAGAGAGAGCCAAGTGTAAGAATGATAACTATAAGTGAAAAATATATTGTGCAAAAAGTAATGTGACAAATAACTTCCATATCAAGACTTTTCTCAATGAGCATACTTGTGACAGTTTTTAAGAATAAAGAAGCAACACAAGATTGAGTTGTAGGAAAGCTTGTTATAAAATTAAGGAAACATCCCTCCATGAAACATTCTAAAGTTTGAGTACATGAAAGTGAAATATGGTGTGAAGTTAGAAGATAGCAAAACTTAAAGGTTAATGATTAAGGCAAGAGATACTGTAGAGGGAAGTGAGAAGGAACAATTTGAAAAATTATGGGACTGTTGTGGAGAACTTATGAGATGTAATCCAAGTTTAACTATGAAAATTGATAATGTTCTTCATGTTGAAAATTTACCACAGTTTCAAATATTATATATATGTCTTGCTAGGTGCAAAAATAGCTTTAAGACTGGGTACAAACCAATGATAAGTCCTGATGGTGCACTTTTAAAGGCTTATCACAGAAGACGATTGTTGACAACAGTGGGGTAAGCTATTAATAATCATATATGGGTAATAGCCTATGTTGTTGTTGATGTTGAAAATAAAGAGAATTGACATTATTTTTTATCACTCAAACAAGGAATGAAATTTCATATCTGACATGCAGAAAGTAAAATATCTACGTATGACTGAGTTACTAATTAAATATGCCTGACATGGACTAAATTGCATAATTAATATATTTGTTTAGGACTAATTTGCATGATTAAAAAATATATTGAAGACTAAAATGCACATTGTTATTTATTGTAGGGTTTGATACAGCTTTGCCAGAAGTCATGTCAAGTGCACACTATAGATTTTGTGTATGACATCTATGGCAAAATTTCTGTAAGCAATATAAGGGTAAAATATTGGAGCACTTTGTAAGGGAGTGTGCCAGATCAACCATAATCTCACATAACATTTGTCTTAACTAAACTTGCACCATAGGTGATGATAATACTCATAAATTTGAAGTACAATGTTTGCCAACTTGGGCACTCATACATACACTTGTAAATTTTGGCAATTATCAGGTTTGTTAAATTTATATGATTACTAATTTGTTAAATATATATAAATATGCACCATTTATAATGTTTAATATATATTTTTTTTGGCTATTTTTATAGGCATGCTTTGCATGCATGCTATTGTTACAATATATAGCATATAAAAATGAGAGACTAGAAGACTACTGTCATGGATGGTTAACAATGGAAGCATGTCATGCAACCTATGAACATCATATTCAACCATTACAAGGTTAAGAATTTTGAGAGAAAAGTGAGTAAATTTCACCACTACCACCAACTATTAAGAAGTAAAGGAGAAATGATAAACAAGGAAAAGAAACAAATGAGAATCCAATAAAACATAAATTGAAAAAAAAATTATCACAGTTTAATTCATGTTATGGAAGCTAAACTACGACAAACAGACTTGCTTTATATTGAAAAAAAAGAGAGTAAAAAATAGAAAATTCTCAAGTCCAAAATAACAATTCAATACAACAACCCTCCATTGTACTTGTAGAAGAAGACCCAACACAAAAGTCTTCCATTGCACCTGCAAAAAAAGGTCCAACAAATGCAATAGCAAAAAACCAGCAAGGTGGAATTAGGTCTAAATTAACCATTAGACAAAGATCATTTGTTACTATGTTTAGGAATAAAATGTTGGACAATTAGGATACAAGTTTTTTATTTCCTAAAACAATGTTGTGTACCTAAACTGAACTATCACGTGATATATCAATATTCTGTTATTATTTAGTAACAATATATGAGTTTAGAGACTAAAATGTCTGATAGAAATAGTAGAAACTAATATGACATTTTTAATATTTTATAAAAATAAAATATATTTTATAAATTAATAGGCAAGTAAGTTAAAATCAGATTTGTAATTTAGCTTTATTAATTTTAAATTTTGTGATAATTAATTTTTTATTTTATAATAAATTTTTAAAATAATTAAAATAATTGTAAAGAGTAAGATTATAATAATAAAAAAAAGTAATAAATATTTTTTTAACTTTTGAAATATGAAAAGAACAAATTTTTCTTTTTAAAGGCAACAAATTAAAAGATAAGAAGGACGGTTAAGAAGTGTTATTAATATACTATCTAACATATTTTTTTTTATTATTGATTGAAATTTATTTAAAATAAAAATTATATAAGTATTACTCATTTAATTAAGAGTAGGATATATTCTTTTAATTCTTGATAAATTTTATTCAATACAGTAGAGTATATTACTAACGTTGATCTGGTTATGATAATAGAGCGATGCCCACTAATTCATGTATTGCCTTCGCAACCTAGCATACAGAATCTAGTGGCAATTGTCTTGCGTAACTATTGTTTTGTGTTCAAGGTTAAGATAGCATATGCCCAGTGAAAGTAAGAAGTTTTGGAGGCATTTTGTCCATAAGTTCATAAAAATTTCTGAATTTATTGCGAACTTTTGTAATGTTTTCTTTATTTATAATTTTCTTCGACTAGTGTTTAGCTTTGTTTTATGATTATTTTACGTAAAAAAAAAGTATTTTACAATTAAGTTAAAAATTAATTTAATTCTATTTTATTTATATTTTTTAAAATTTGAATTTAAAATAAAAATTTATATTTATATATATTTTGAGTAAAATTTTCACTAGTTTATTAATTAATTTTGTCAAGCACATCTTCAATTATATATATAAAACTTAAATATATAATTAGTCTCAATGAATATAACACATTCTACATGAAATATTTATAAATTTTATTATTATTATTATTATTATTATTATTATTATTTAATTTAAGTTAAAAAAATTAAGATTTAATATCTATTAAATACTGCAATAACTCACAGAAAGTCAATTTAATATTGAGTACATGTAATTTAGTTTTATAATATTTTATAGATAATTTTAGAAAAGTCTTTAAACTTATATCTTCTTCCCCTTCGCCGCCTCACACCCCCTTCCCTTCCCCTAATTCATGGTTCCCTGTATTGTACGAAACTCCTCAGCATTGCAGATCACAGTGTAAAAATACCCTTTACATCAAGAGTCAATACTATCCTAGGCAAGCTATCCCAACCCCATAGACAGTATTCAGTAAATGGGCGAAATCAAGAATCATAATTTAATAACTCTGATAGTGTCAAGCTGTGACTACCAATTTCAAGTTCTTTTCACCGATTTTAAGTCATTTATTTAGTTACACACAATTATTTTTCTCTGATTCCAGTACACCGGTGATCTTATGCAACAAGTTAGTCATAAATGGCTTCATATTTAGAAAAACATGTGAAAAGAAGAAACCGAGAAACAACACGATTTTAATCATATACGTTTAGACCTAATTATGAAAAAAAGGAATTTATGATTTAATGGACATTCATGGTCTGCACGGTAAGAAGCTTAGAATGATATTACAAAATCTAATCATATTATGGTGCAAAACCATACAAGACATGAAAAATATGAACTCTAGGCTTTTATGATCTTAATATTAGATAATGGATCCAGCACTGTAGTTGGAGACTGTGAAAAGAAATTAGAGGATTAGAATAAAACCAACAGTCTCACTCTGGCTTGGCACCCCGAAGTATATGGCGAAGAAAAGCACTGATATCAGAATCTGTTGATCCACCACTTGCAATTGCACGGTGACATAGCAGCTGAAGCTCCCTGGCTCTTTTCCTCATATCTCTCCCTTCATCACTCTCTAAATCCATAAAATTTTTAACAAGGCTAGCAATTTCATCTTTTCTAATCAAAGTGTCTTGTTTAACTTCAACTTGTGTTTTCACCCTCCACCCCACCTTCCAATATTCCACTATCAATTTACAATCTAGAGGTTGGTCCTAAATATTGTACCATGGGTGCAGAAAACGCAATACCTAGTACTCCCTAGCATATGTGAGCTTGAACCTCGAGCCATTGATGCTTTGAAACAAGAGTTCTCGATACCCATTTACACTATGGGTCCTCTCATACCTTGTTTTGGTAATGGTCACGCTGGTTCTGTGGACAACAAACATTCTGACCATGGTTACTTCCAATGGCTTGATGATCAAAAGGGGCTTCCATGTTGGTCATAACGGCTTCAAAGAAGGTGACGTAGTCGTTGGCTCGATCATGTTCGGAAGGAATAACGTTGGGGATTGAGGCAAATCTGAAGTTGTCAGGTTTGGAGTCGGAGCCGATGAGGCCGAGCCATTCCTCGGTGACCACGAAGGTAATGTGGAGGTTGGTGTTCTTGTAAAGCAGCAGCTTGCAGAGGTTCATCATGGGGTTGATGTGGCGTCGACCTGGGTATGGAACAGCCACCACGTGGCCGGAGATGGTTGGCGGAACTGGAATTGGGTCTTGCATTGAGATTAGGATTGTTTGGAGAGGTGAAAGAAGATGGAGTAAGTTTGCTCTGTGCATAGGAGGCGTTTATATTTTTGTTTTAGCATCCAGATCCCAAGAAAGACCTGGAGAATCAGATTCACATTGTTCAATCTTCAATGAGGAAAATCGGACCTTATTTATTTTTTTAATATATTTTAAAAATAAATTACTAAAATAATTTTTTTTAAATCAAACTTTGGGGTAATATAATGACATGTACCTAAATTCTAGCAAGTTTCATGAGGCGAACATATTATTTTTAAAAAAATAAATTTGTGTTTAAACTGTTTGAAGTAAAAGAAAACACAACGCCATTTACGCGAGTTAGTTAAAAAAAAATATTAGTAAAAATTTAAATAATTACTTTTATTATTTGTGTAATTTATTATTAGTCAATCATAATTTAGTATGATTAATTTGCATTTTAGTGTTAGGTACTGGTTATAGAAATGAATATATAGTTTTGATAATTATTTTGTATTAATTAACACAAATATAATAATAAATATATTAAAAATATGAAATTAGTAGTATTTATTAATGAATTAATTAAAGAAGCATAATTTTTTATTATTTTTATTTTTGTATTTATGAAATATATATATATATATATATATATATATAATGAATTAAAACTTCATTAATAAATGAATTAATTAATATAAACTTGATAATAATGCATTAATAAATATTACTAACTTTTCTTTGAAGATAACTAAACTCTATACGACAAAAATCTAAATTTTTTTCAACCTATTTCAAATAAATTATGGGAATTTAATAATTATAATTAATCATTTATTATAATATAAATTAAAAAAATTTATTTGAAATTAGCTCAAATTAGAATTAATGGCCATAGGATAGTGGCATGACCGCTCCACATATCTTCAACTATCTGAATTCAAATTTGAATCTCTCTGTTTTTTTTTTTTTAAAGTAAGTTTTGTGCCTAATGCGTGTTAAAATTTGTTTAAAATAAAACTTGTGGTAACGTAGTAAAAAAACTTTAGATAGAATTTTTTTTAAAAAAATATTATTTTATTTTTAAAAAAATGTTAAAATAAATTAATTGGGAAATCAGATCATCTTTTTTAAGTAAGTAAAAAAATTGAGAAAACAAACTAATAAGATTTTGGAAAAATAGAAGTTTTTTAAAAATTATTTATTAAAATAATAATAAAATATTTATTTGTCTGGATTTCTCCTAAAATGTGATACATATTAAAACAAAACGCATCTTAAAAGTGCATACAAATTTTAGTAGTTGATGTTGCTAATATTCAACCACTCTCGCCTTGTAAATTTTGTCAAGAGAAAGTAGTTCCTTATCATTCACCAGGTTAATTTTTAATATATATATATATATATATATATATATATGTAATTTAATAATTACAAATAAAAGTTTATAATTTTTTAAATAGTTACATACATAATAAAATTATTTTAAACAATTTTTTTTTCTAAAAAATTATTTTGACTTTATTTTATAACTATAAATATTATATATCAAATAATAAAAATGCAATAAAATTAAATATTTAAAAATAATAATATTATTATATAGTGTCAACAAAAATTTACGAATTCAATGTCAACAATTAATATAAAATAACTAAAATATTTTAAAAAAAATAAGAAGAATTTTAGAAATATAAAAATAGATATTTATAAAAAGATAAAAATTTATATAAAGTAATAAGAAAAAGTTAATGAAGAACTTTAATCTTTATAATTTAATATCTATATCAAGAGTTGTATTTAATACAACAGATAAAAATTTAAAATAGAAATTATTATTATTTAAATAATGTTGATTAGTTTAATTGTTATAAAATATTTTTATATAATATGAACATAAATCAAAGTATGAGTTGATGGTCTTAAAAAAAAAATTTAAAAATATCTACCCTAAGTTTTATAGGTAGAACATTGTCGTATAAGGTTCCGTTAGTTTTAAAATTATAAAATTAATAAGCACACTTTCAATAATAAAAAAAAATTACAATAAAAATATATGATTTGAATTAATTTAGATATACTTTTTAATTTTATTCAACAATTTAAAATCAATATATACATATCAAAATGAATTTTGTTCAACTTGAAATCAAATGAGCACTAATCGTCCATAAAGAAATAAAAAAAAAAATCTCTTGATAAAATAGTAACTTATAAAAATGAAGAAACAACTTAAATTTAACATGCTAGACTTGCATTATATCCCTAATAAAGGCGTTCAAATCAGTTAAAGCTGAACCCTCTTTTGAAAGTGCACGACGACATATCTGCTGAAGCGTTTTGGACATTTCCCTCATTTCCCTTGTGAGATTACTGTCCAAATCCATAAATTTCTCCATTAGCCTCACAATTTCATCTTTCTTAACCAAAGTATTTGCTTGAATGTCTTCCTTCACCCTCCACCCAACCTTCCAATCCTCTACTATCATCTTACTATCTAGTGGTTGGTCCATAATTATTGGGAAGGTCAGAAAAGGAACTCCAGCAAAAACACCTTCTTTTGTAGAATTCCACCCACAATGAGACCAAAAGCCTCCAATAGCAGGGTGACATAAAACTTTCAATTGGTCACACCATGTCAAAACTATTCCCATGTTCCCACAAATTTCTTGCAACCTTGAAGCCTCACTACGGGCTACCCATAAGAATCTCACACCACTTTCTTTCAAAGCAATTGCTATCTCATCAGTTTGAGCTCTTGAAACCGAGAAAAAACTCCCTTGTGAGATGTAGAGAACAGAACCAACGGGTTGTGCATTTAGCCACTCAAAGTAACTATGGCTAGCCCCGTTGGTGATCGATGTTGGATTGTCTTGAACGTTAAAATATGGTACGACAGGGCCAATAGTGTAAATGGGCAAAGATAACTTGGATTTTAGAGCATCAATGGCTTGAGGCTCGAGCTCATAAATGGAAGTGAATAGAAGAAATTGTGCTTTGGGAACCCATGCGAAGGCTTTCAAGCACAGTTGCGACATTTCTTTGGAGCTGGAACTAGCGTCGTTTAAAGGGAAATCCGCCAGGCGCATTGATGAGATTCCAGGAATATAGTCCACACGTTTGTCGCCGTTTTCTGGATTGCATTCAGTTAAGTAAAACAATTCAATCACTGTCTCTAAATATCATACTTTTATATAAAATGCCATTTATAATAATATTATAATTATATATTATATAATTTATTTGTATCAAACTTTATAAAAATTGAACAAAACTTATATGATAATTATATGGTATATTTTAAAAATATTATGTTAATTTTGATAAATAAATTTATTATTAAATAGTTTTAGATTTATATATGTATCAATTTTAAGATAAATCATCTCATAAAAAAATATATCTTGTATCTAAAACGGGGTTAAATAATAATAAAAAAATCTATACTATTTTCTTTCTGTTTTTTTTCGAAAGAATCCTATACTATAAGCATTTTTGGTTTGAAAAAAATGAAGGAAGAAGAAACCGTGAGAGATTCTTCGGATTTGTTAACGAGTCCGCACATCATTTAACTTATCTAAACAAATGAGAGATTCTTAGGATGCCACAAATTTGTCTCCAATACAATTTTTAATAAAATATATTATAATATAAAACCAGTCTATATTAACTGATTATAATAATTAGTGATAATTTAAAATTAGTAATTATTTATTTATTGCATCCAAATATAATATACTATTAACATTATAAGGATGAAATTTTTATCCTAAAATATTGAAATTAAAAATAAAAAATATATCAATATTATCTCATCACCATTTATTTTCTTTTACATTATATAAGTCAAATTAAAAATTACATAGTTAAATAATAAATTCTTAACGATAGATTAAATAAATAAAAATATTTTTTTTAAAAATTGTTGGAAAAATAAAAGGTAAATAAATATTTCAAATTGTATATAAAAAAATAAATATCTTATTTAAGGTTTCTTTTTAAATTTGAAAAAAATGACATATAAACGGAAATGCAGATATCTCAGTCTTCTTTTGAAGTTAATGGTATTGTCAATATTTACCTGACAAGTTCACAGGATAATGCCCATTTTGTTCCAAAAGGTGATGATGGTGGAGCACAGAGAACATAGACGCCGACATGGTCCAAAGTGATGCCACTGAAATATTCCGTCGCTTTCCAACCGCGACCCCCCAATATAAGAATGTATCAAATATGATTATTGTAGGCGGCGGTTCAAGCCGGTCGAGTAGCTGCTCAAAGGGCGCTTCCATCTTGGTCATGACAGCTTTTATGAAGCCGATGTGGTCGTTTCCGCGAGTATGTTCGGACGGGACGACATTGGGAATTGAGCGCAGCCTCATGTTGTCGGGTTTCGGATCTGAGCCGATTAAGCCGAGCCATTCTTCGGTGACGACAAAGGTTACTTGGACACAGTTGTTGTTGGAGAGCAACAGCTTGCAGAGGTTCATCATGGGGTTAATGTGGCCGCGAGCAGGGTAAGGCATGGCCACCACGTGGCAGGTGCAAGTAAGTGGCGCTTCCATGCGATGGAACTATGGGGAATGTGGATGAGGTTAAGGAAATGAAACCGTGTGAAGAAGAGCCAGGTGAGGAAATAGACATAAACAAACAAAGCACGGGTTTCGATATTTCATAACGGTCACTGTTAATGAAAATGATATTAAATTGCATTATAAATTATAGGAAAAATATATTTATTATATTTTTATAACTTTTTTAAAAAGATTTTAAACCTTTACTGCAAAACACTGTTAATATTTGCTTAAGGGTTATCTATTGGAGTTCGTGTTACGAGACAATATTACTGGTTGAAATTAATTATACATATATTTTTTTAGGCACATTTAACCAAAGGAGAAAGTTTTAAATTTTTGTAAATTAATGTTTATTTGAATGCATGTAAAAATATTAAAAAATAATATTTTTTCATTATAATTTGTAATTTTATAATATTAATATATTTAAGAGGTGCAAAGAGTAAAACAAGATGAGCAAAAAGTAATATATTAAGGCTAACAAAATAAGTTAATTAACCCATGGCTCATTGCAAACAGTGAGTTTTAGAGGTTGAGAAAAAAAAATTTAAATTGAATAAATTCTTAAATTAATCATTGAAATTGAGTGATAAATAAATTAATCACAAAATTTTTAAATTGATTTGTTAGTTATTAATTTTGTTAAATATCAAACACTTTAATTTAACTCATTATCATATTAATATTAACTTTTGCTGATAAAAAATAACATGTTTATTAAAATGACTGTCGTTTCGCCATTTTTCTTCACTGACAACTACCATAGTTATTCAACTCACCGCCTCTTCTCAACAACCTCGTTTCACCCTTTTTTTCCACTCCCTAATATCTACCATCTCGTTCAACGATATTGTTTCACCCTTCCCTCCCTTTCCTGCCATCCACCTGGCATAAATTGCATAAGCCTTTTGTAGTGTGGTTTGTCAATTTGAGATTTAGGGTTAGGAAAGGAAACCGTTTCTATGAAATTAGACTGAGTAGTAGATAAGGTTGTTTTGCAGTTCTTCAACTTAGATCTATTCAAGTATGAAGATGTATGCAAGTTTCCAACAACAACAACGGAGGGTGTATTGGACGTCAATTTTCATTGTCAATGTTAGAGCAACAATAATAGTGAGGGCTCCACACATTTGTTAGCAACTACTGTAGCATCATCAGGTTTTCCACCAATTAGACCCTCACAAGGCTGGCCACAGATAATGGATGAAAGAAATAAAGGGAAAGCCAAATTAGTTACTTACTGGTCTTTGCTTGAAATGGTGAGTGGCAAGTAGGGGGAAGAAAAACTTGTGATACTAGTGTCGAAGGTCCATGCAAAGGTTCAAGGAGAGGGACTCTGGAGCAGGTGCTTTTTTTATCGAAGGTGGAGTTGAGATAGAGGAGGATTAGGTGGTGGTGAAATATGTGGAGATTCAAGACATGGTGGAGACTTTGGAGCAGTAATGAAGGCAATAAGATTGGTGGTAGATGATGATCGAGTGGAGGAGAAGAAAAACTACATTTTAGGATGAAGGAGAGAGAAATGACACGTAGTTTTAGTATCTCATCGCTTAACAAAAAAATTTAATATTGTTATGATAAATCGATTTGTGATGAAGATATCATGGGTCACGATCTCAGTGACTAATACGAGGATTTACTCAATTATTTTATTCAAGCTTGTAAAGTGATACTCAAACTTAATCGAATTTAATTATTTTAACTTTTTATTATTTATTATGAACTTAGTTTGCATTAGATTTGATCGAATCTACTTTAAAAAAAATTGAATTTAATTCAAATCTAAAATATAAAATTTTTTATTTACATTTTATCAAACAAATCTAAATAAGTCCAATTAAATAGATATATTTTATAGATCTCACTATTCAAATCTCATTCAAGCTCGTAAAAAAATACTCAAACCTAATTAAATTTAATAATCTTTTTTACAATTTAATAACTTTTTATTATTTATTGTGAACTTAGTTTACACTAGATTGAATATAGTTAAAAAAGTTTGAATTTAATTCAAGTCTAAAATATACTTTTTTTTATCTGCATTTTATTAAACAATCTAAATCAGTGTAGTTAGATATACATATTTTATAGATATACTTCACCATTTATTATAATTTGTAGTTAGAAAAAATGAAGAGGAATCGAATGTTTTAAAATAATAAAATTTATTTATACTTAAGAGGATAAGTCTATTGGTATATGTATTATTTGTTTACTTAGGAAGATAATATATAATAAAATGTACAATTAATATCTTTATTTATATTAACTTTTTAGGTTAATGTAAATTTTTTTTTATCATTTTTTTTGACAAGTGTGTAAAACATTTAAAAATTAGATGAAAATAAGGTATAGTTAAAAAATAATTAATATTACATGTGAAGTACTAATTATTTTATGACTTGCTGCAATATTTTCTCTCTCATTATTTTATGACTTTGGAATTGGATTAATCGGTGTATTGCATGTTTAACATGACTAACAAGTAGAATGTAACTCAATATGGTAATAATGTTAGTATCACTGTAACTTACACTGTCTTGTATTACTTAAGAAATTATTGTATGGTCATTGATACCGAAGTAACTACCCATGTATGCTAGGAACCATCGCGGAAGAGAAATTGACTAGTTAAGTTGGAAACCTAATTAAATCTCACTCTGACGTGAACCAAAGTGACCCAATGTTATGCATGTACACTATGTTTTGATATTTCTAATGAACAACAATTTTTTAGATAAGCTGCAATTATTCATACTAACAAGGAATATAACTTTGTACTAGACATAACTAAGGTCACATGTATAAATCGACAAATCAATTCACATCCATATAATAAATAAATTCTCATGGTTCATATGTGCATTCTACGTATTATCATACACTCATGTGGACCAAATTTCCTTTAACTTGAGCGTTAAAGTGTTTATTGTAAAAGCACTTCTCCTTGAAAAGTGATCCCAGCAAGTATATTAGATCATTAAATAATAAAGTAGAATAAAGAGTTATTGTACTCACAAGAATAATTCAAGTATCAATTCTAATTAATTAGATAACAAGTTGAACAATTAAAAAGAGATGATATTGAAAGAAACAAAGACTAAATTGTTGAACAATGGAAAAGCAATATAAAATTTGATAGAATTAGGTACTAGGGTGATTTACTTTATTTTAACAAAATTAATACAACATAAACATCAATATGCTTTGTCCAAATTCAATTTAACAGAGGTAGGGTCATCATACCATTAAAGTTTTTCTCAAGATCATTCAATGTTACTAAAAAAAAAATCAAACAGAGCACCTAATCTCGTAATATATTTAAGTTTACATGAAACTCTCAAATCCTTGAATACCATATAAATCATATTTTTCTATCTTTAGGTGTCATTCAACTCTTTGCATTGCATTCATATGCATGACTCTTACTCCTTTTCTCAAATTTGTGAAAATCTCTTATAATCTTAAATTGGTGATTAAACAATTCAAGATAAATAAACTCAAATACAATATTCACTATCAAATGAGAACAAGACATAAATTTAATCACATTAACATAATATAAAACAAATATTCTTCATAAATCACCATTAACAAATGATTTAGTTACAAGTCATGGATAATAACTTAAAATGGACAACAATGGAAGAAAAATTGGAAGAAGGCTGAAGAAAAAAAAATACATAGAGTCAAGAACTAATTTCCAAAAGAGGTCTCTCTCGCAAGTTTCAAGCTACATTTTTCTTCTTCAATATTTTGTACTTTTCTCTCCTTGCAGCTAACACGTTTTCCTAAAGTTTTGTGTCAATTACAGGTTGTTAGGATAGTATAGAAACTCACCTCACATATATTATATTTGCATACTTACTAATCATGTTGTACCGTGACTTAAGTTTCAAGGCTCACATTTAATTTTCTTAATTATTCTTAAATTACAAAACTTGTAGAAAACATAATTAAAATACAATATTAAATGTGAATGTAATCATGTAAGAATTTAAATTTAATAATGTAAAAAAGAGAAAAAAAAACTATCTATAAACTAAAAGTTCTAAGATCTAAAAAATCTTAAAAATATATATAATTGCTGAAAGAGTTATCATTACACTATGTTCTGATATCTTTAATAAACAACTATTTTTTTAGATAAGCTGCAATTATTCATACCAACAAGGAATGCGACTCTAGACAAAATCAACAACATCCATATAATAAATGAATTCCCATGGGCTCATATTTGCATTCTACACATTATCATATAATTATTCGGATCAAATTTTCTTTAACTTGGACATTAGAGTGTTTCTTGTAAAAATAACTCTATTAGAGACATAATCAAAAACTCTCGTCAACCATGACTTGAAATCCTTTATGACGAAGAAAAAAACTATTTTACTGTTCAATACGCTTCAATCATATTTATTTTGTCATAAAAATAATACTTGATTATATTTTTAAATTAAAAAATTAATAAAATGCTAAGTGTTTATTACTATATAATTAGTCAAAATCATTATCGTCTTTCAATAATATCTGGTATTTTTCACATTTTAAAAACGTGTCTCTAATCGTAGACTTGGATGACTTCCAAAAACTCAGATTTTTTCAGCATTAATAAGAGTATGTATGGAAGTGCATCAAATAACTAAAGTAAGTACGTGTATTAAGTGAATGTTGTTCAAAATGTGTTTGAATTCACATTTATATTACCATAAATTTATATTTATTTTAACAGAAATAAGTATAGCTTCTACACTCAATTTCTTTTTATAAAATTTTCATCAAGTTTGTAAACACAGTGTAGAAGAAAAAAGAAAATGAAAAAAAGCAAACACGCACGAAGTAACTACCCATAATGATGTGCACTTTTGTCTGCAAATCTCAAATTGCACTTTTGTCTCCCAAGACTTAGGTAGAGTATTCAATAGCCATAGTCCCAAAACCTCATCATCAAAGTTGATACCCATTCCAGACAGTTGATCTAGGAGCCCTTGAAATTCATTCAAGTGATCTGAAATAGAAGAACTCTCCCTGTACCTCAAATTCATCAGACAATTCAACAAATACAATTTATTGTTCCTTGACTTAGAAGCATACAAGGACTCAATCTTCTCCCACAAAGTTCTAGCATGTGTCTCATTAGCAATGTGATTATATACATTGTCTTCTACAAATTGCCTAATAAAACCACATACCTGTTGATGCTCAAAAGTCCATTCTTCATCAGACATATTTTCCGGCTTCTGAGTAGTAAAGACTGGAAGATGTAATTTCTTCACAAACAACAAGTCTTTCATCTTGCCCTTCCACAAATGATAATTAGTACCATTCAAAGCTACCATTTTTGTATTTGCCTCCATCATTCAAGCAAGTCAAATAATCTCAAAACCAGAGCCCAAAGAGCTCTGATACCACTCTGTTGGAGAAAACCAAACACAAGAACACAATTATCTAAAGTGAGCAGCGGAAACAATTTCCCAAACTTGCAAGAACCTGTGAGGAGCAACAACAATAACAAATGGCAGCAACAAACACAAGGACACAAAGAATTATTTACGTGGGAAAACCCTCTCAATGTGAGAAGTAAAAACCCACGGGCTCAAGCCAGTCAATCAAGCTCCACTATAATCAAATGAAGTAACAAGAGAGTCTCAAAATACTGCACAAATTCGTGCAAACAACCAGCTAATACAACCAAGCAATAAAGCCTAACTAAAGAGAGAAAATCTCACAAAACAGAGCTGCTGTTCATACACGATTTCTCTCAGCAAAAACCTGAAATCGACGATCCCAGCGGTCAGAATGAAGAAATATACGTCTGGGAACTACTGTCAAAGTTTCAGCTCAATACAACGGTTAACTAAGGAGAAATAACAATTTCTCAGCAGCTAATCTGTGCAGAGTCACCAAAAACAGGGCTTCTGTGCGAAGACAGTATCTCCAACTTCAGATCTCCAATTGACAATCCGAACGGTCAGAACAAAGAGCACCATGTTACGAATCTGCTGTAAAATTTTCAGCCCGATCCAACGGTGAACTAATTGGATATCAGAAAAATGAAGCAGCTGGTCTGGAGCTTCTTTTCTTCCCTCACTTCCCTTCTCTCTTTTTGATGCCTCTCACCGAAAATGCTTACACTAGGCTGCGAAAATAGACTTCCCTCACCCACTCCACTGACTTCTCACTCCCCTCAATTAAGTGTGTAGAAAATGAGCTTGAAAATTTAGACTTTTGGACACATAGTTGGGAGTCCAACCCAACACACTCTGCCCTTGTGATTTAATATTGCCAGACTCTGTAAGTAAGTAATCCTAAATTTAACATCGATTAACAAGAAACAGATGGTTGCAGTGAGTTAGCACTTGGTTTTGAAAATAGCAAAATGAATGAGAATGCATGCATCTCTAGGCTCAATATTAACAAACAGATCAATGCATTTCTCAGCACAGTGATTTTGAATATTTTTACGAATAACTTAAATCCTAAGTTATTTGACTAGAATAAAAGCTTGTTTAATCAAAACAGAGTTGTTTGATTTATAAAAAAAAACACGTTATTTTATTAAAAGAAATTGTTTTTTGAAACATTATTTCATACAGCGCTTGAATTTCTAAATTTCTAATTTATTTTATTCTTACATTTTATTAAATTTATTTACTTTTATCTTTTTCACATTTATAAACTTTTAACCCATGCTTACTTTTATTTCTCACTCTCGTTAAATATCATTTATTCATAATATAAAATATTTAAAATTATAATACAATATCTATATATTTTTTCTTGTTTCACTTGATAAAATATTTAAAAATTAAAATTAAAATCATTATACTATCTTTTAAGACGAAAATTTGTCTCAAAAATAAATTAAATATGAAATGTGAAAATTGTTTAAAATTAGTATATTATCATTATATATTTATCAGTTAATTTAACTAGTTTTATCAAAATATTTATAATTTAATTAAATGATTTATCAATTTTTTATTTTTTATTTCAATTTTTCATTTAATTTATCTGTTAATTTTGTCAAATAGATGCAACAAATTAAATTTATCACTAGTATTATAGTCAAATGCATCTCAAGTTGCTTTCTCTCTCAAATTGCCCATGTTTTAGTGTGGGTTTATATTAGATTATTTTTGTGAATTATGTGCAAATACTATTCATTTTTTTAAATATTTAGTTTTATATTTAAAATAGTTAATTATTAAATTAAAATAACAAATAGACTAATAACTTGTAAAATTTTAATCTCAAGACAAGAAGTGAATGGATTGTGTTCATCTTTAAAATTGATTTTTTTAGGAATAAATGCTTTAAAAAAAAACTCTTTGTCAAAGCATTAAAAAAGTGATTTTAAAATAAAATAAACCAAACAAATAATAGTTATTAACATATTATTGTTTTAAAGGTGTTACGAACTAGTATTTTCAGGTTACTGATCAAAGAATTGGAAAACAATTTTTTATTAAAAAATATGTTAAAATGTATTAAAAATTAAAAAATTGCATTAATAACTATTTTATTTTTTATTTTTTATTTCTAATTAGTGTTCTTCAGACATTAATTAGCATTTATCTTATTTAAATAGACACGTATAGTTTAAAATGTATAATATAGCTTATTATGAATTTTAAAAAACAATACACCAATACATGTTGTTTTTAACACGTTGATATTTGATCTTCAATTGACTTGGTTCTTCCAATGGTGTTGGAATTTAAAAAATAAAAACTCATGAATTTAGTTCTAAGAAAATTGTATGATATAATACTAAATATTTGAGAAAAATTGTGCATAAAATGCATCTTTTCGAATAATTTTAAATTTTAATTTAATACTTATTTAATAAAATATTAATAACTTCTTTTATAAAAAAAATATAATATTAATTCTTATTTTCTCTACAGTTTAACATATTATTTCATCTTTAAAGATTAACAAAATAGTATTTCGTTTCATGACAAGTCATGTAGATAACGAAGTTTCACAACAAAAAATTATTCACTAGTATCAAGGGTTAATTAATTAATTTACCCAGCATATCACTGTCAATCGTCAAATGCCGGTCTCGTGCAAAGACCTAAAGGTGATGTAGCATGGAGCAAAACGACGCCGACATGGTCCAAAACGCCTTCACCGGAATAGTCCTCCGATTGGCGAGTGCGATGGGCCACCGGAGCTCAACACAGCCAATGATGACAGTCGGCGGCGGCTCAAGCAGATCAAGAAGCCGCTCGAACGGCGCTTCCATCTTCATCATGACGGCTTCGTAGAAGGATGGAAAGTCAGCGGCTCTCTGGCGCTCGGACGGGACAACGTTGGGAATAGTGGCGAAGCGGATGGCGTCCGGCTTGGGATCGGCGCCGATGTAACCGAGCCACTCCTCCGTGACCACAAAGGTTATGAGAATGTCGTTGGGCGTTTTTGATACGAGGATTTTGCAAAAGTTGATCATGGGGTTAACGTGCCCTCTTCCAGGGTACGGCATCGCCACCACGTGGCACACACCGTCTCCGAAGCTATGCATAACCGGTGCCGGAGAAGTGAAGTGGTTGACTATTACCGTATTACGTTTCGAGTGTTCATTCATCTCCCTCACCTGCGAATTTCTAAGAGGTCCAAGTTTCTTATCATCAAGCTTTCCAAGTTTTTATTTTTAAGACGCGTGTTTACCTTTTATTTGATTGAGACAAAAAAATTCTAACAGAAACTTTTCGTACCGTCTAGGAGTTCTCTTTAGAAGGAAACGAAGATAAATAATACGAATAAACTTTTGGTAAATATTAAGAACATTGATTAAGGAAAACGCACTCTTCCCTTCATACGAAAGCAGAGGCAAAGGAAAAGGAAATATTTTATGGAAAAAAAAGTGATACTTAATTTGATTTATGAGGAGAGAGAACTAGAGAAAATTAAATAAATTTATTATTAAAATAATTAAAATTACATAATACATTAAGGATAGTTTTATTTGATTAATTTAATTTTTTAAAGTATTTTTACTTTTGAAGGAGAATTAAGTTGAACAGGATTTTGGCTATTTTCCTTCCTCTTTCTTTAAACAAAATTTTGAACTCTTTCGCTTTCCTTTAAATATATAATATGTACAAGTGGAAAAAAAAAACTTGTTAAAAACAACACAAATTTAATGATTAATGATTTTATTAAAAAGTTAATTTTAATGTACAGTTAGTGTAAAAGTTTTTATATTATCAACTAATTATAATAAATTATATATATATATATAATTTTTATATTAATTATTACAAAAATAAATAATTTTTGTTGATATGAGAATTTATATATAAATGACATATTTTACTCTATTAGTGTATTTGAATTAAATTATTTTATTAAAAGCTAGCTTTTAACTCACAACCCACCTTATATTGTTTTTAGCACCATGAGTGATCAAATAATAAATTCATCAATTTTTTATGATATTTTTCTTACTATTCAACACTTCTCTTTAAAAAGAATAATGTCAAAATGTCGTAAACAATCCATCCTTAATAACACCTCTCATGTTGCTCTCTTTTCTTCCAACATTGGTGCTTTTCCCATTCACACACAATACTCCCAAGCCTTGTAACATTCATTTGTAATATATAGTAACAATCAGAGTAAGAATAGAATCTATCTCCAACAAATTTATTTTTACGTGTAAACAATACCCACGCGAGGTTAATTACATAAATCAAACAATACTATTCAACTTGATTAAAAACTAAATTTTTTAAAATTTGATTAATAAAAAAATCTTTTTTAATAACTTTGTCAAAAATTCTTTTAAATACTTCTGTTTACTGAATTAAGAATCATACAATTTATTCATTTTATTGACATTTACAAAAAAAAAATTTACACATTAGATGCTTTTTAATTATATTTTTTTTTATAATTATTCCTTCAATATTCTTTTATATACTATCATTTTATATCTTGTTATTTATTTTATAAGGTTTAAATAAAAATATAACGGTAGAGTTTTCGATAATAAATATACCTCTCTACTTGTAGCTAAAACTTTTTTAATTATTAAAATTGTAACTTTCATCGCACAAAAGAATTATACGGAATATAAAAAATGCTACCACAAATAATGTAGAATTCCCAACAGCAAAAGCAAGACTAACGGCGAATAGGCCTTAAAAGTTAAAAGAATTGAGGAAATGCTACTTACTGCTGCAGACTTGCATTTGAATAAACAACGCTGGAAAAGTAAATAAGAGATGTAGAAGCATATGACAATGAAAAGTAATTAAGCATAATGCTTCAAGTAGCAATTTGTAGATCTTAAATTGCTGAATGTTGAAGCACAAATTAAACTATTAGAGAGCTTTTCAGTTTCAGTTCTACCTGATTTTACAATGTTATCATCTACATGCTTGTATGCTATTACAATTTCTTCAGTTCTACTTTAAAACATTGCTTGATTAAGTTACTGAACACAATCTTCTCAACGCATCAGTGGTTTTGAAATGTCTCTAATAAATGCATCCAGGTTCCCATCTGAGGATCCACCTTTAACAATCGCTCTGTGACAGATAACCTTGAGTCCTCTTGCCCTGTCTCTAATTTTCTTACCCTCTTGACTTTCAATATCCATAAACCTCTTAACTACCTCTTCTATATTTTCTTTTGCCACAGTATCTTCACTCTCCAACTTTGATTTCCCTACCTTACACCCATTCTTCCACTCATCTGCAATTAGGCTGCTATTTGGAACTTGATCCAAGAAAAGAGGGAATGTCAGCATTGGTACACCAGCAAAGAGAGCTTCAAGAGTGGAATTCCATCCACAATGGCTCCAAAACCCACCTATGGAAGAATGTGACAAAACCTTCAATTGGTCACACCATGGCACCACCATACCCTTATCTCCACACTTGTCTTTCAACCTTGAAGTTTCCCCACGAGCCACCCAAAAGTAAACAATGTTGCAATTGTTTAGTGCTTCAATAATTACATTCATTAGGGCACTGGACACTGAAAGGAAACTACCCAAAGAAATGTACAATACTGATTCAGCTGGCTGAGAATCCAGCCACTTTATATAATCATGGCTATGATCATTGTTCACTGAAGGGTTTTCTGCTAGCTCTAAGTAAGGTATAGCAGGGCCAGTAGCATAAACCGGAAAGGGGAATATAGCTTTTAAGGAATCAATTGTTTCAGCTTCTATCTCTTGGACTGTGGTGAGTAATAGATAGTTTGCTTTGGGAACTTTCGAAATACATTCCAATGCAAGCTGCAAGACTCGTTGATCATTTTCATGAAGCACGGTTTGAAGGTCTGCCAAATCAGCTGAGGAAATTCCTGGGATGTTCTCTGCTGGTCCATCTGTATCATTTATCAGACAAGCACCCTTATACAATTGCATTATTCTTTGGCAGATGATATGAAATAAAAAATGTTTCACCCTATAACAGTTATGCTTACTAAACACCCACCACAATTAGACTAAAGAACATTCATTTGTAGCATGTCCCTATGATTACGCATAACCAAATTCTTGACTACTGAATCCCAATTTTAACATCCATTTTCTAGCTATTTATCATAAGGTTGCAATAGTATAACATTGTTTCGAAAATTATTCAGAGAATAAATGATAATGCATCATCTAAGCTCTATATAGACAAATGCAATTAAACAAAATTATTCTAGTCTCCGCAGTGCATCTCCAAGGCTGTGTCTTGTAACTCACCCAAATTAACTGTCTTAAACTTGAAGGACAAGCTTACATTTCAGCTAAAGGAAGGAACTATAAATTATTGTTTAATAAAAACAGATTTTTTGAATTTAGAGTAGCTTATGCTGAATTTTAAAAAATTACGCTAAAAAATAATGTGTATTTGGTGCTATTTGTTAATACAAAACCTTCAGTTGACTTATTTCATCAAGGGGTTTTTATTTAAAAAATAATAAAAATTACTTCCAATAAAATTATAAGAAGCAATACTCAGATTAGAATTAAAATTGTGCACTGAATTTTTTTTCCTTGATTGTGATATAAATGAATAAATTCTGAACTAAAATTAAAATTAATTGTAAACGACACAGATTTATTACCCAGCGTATCTTTATCAACAGTCAAATGCCGGTGTCGTGCAAAGACATCTAGGTGATGTAGCATGAAGTAAAACGACGCCGACATAGTCCAAAACGCTGCCACGGGAATATTTCTTCGATTGGCGACGGCGATGGGCCACCGAAGCTCAACGCAGCCGAGAATCGCAGTTGGCGGCGGCTCGAGCCGATCGAGAAGCCGCTCGAACGGCGCTTCCATCTTCGTCATTACGGCTTCGTAGAAGGCGGGAAAGTTAGCAGCTTTCTCTCGCTCATGGATCACGTTGGGGATGGCAGCGAAGCGGATGGCGTCCGGCTTGGGATCGGCGCCGATAAAGCCGAGCCACTCCTCAGTGACGACAAAGGTTATAAGAATCTGGTTGGGTCTTTTCGATGCCAGAACCTTGCACAGGCTCATCATGGGGTTGATGTGCCCTCTTCCCGGAAATGGCATCGCCACCACGTGGCATACGCCGGCGGCGGAGCTATGCATAGCCGGCAAATTTGGGTAAGTGAGATTGGTTGGGGATTCCTGATTATTCTATCTTGACTGGTGCAGTATAAAACACCAAAGCTTAAATAATTGTTTTGTTTTATTTTATTTTATTCTTTTGAACATTTCAGATTTATTTAATAACATTTCGTAATCCAGTCAAAAAAATTATCAGAATTATTATTTTATCACTATATATTAAAAAAAAAAACTGAAGTGTGTGCATTAGAGTATCGCGCCTTGATTGAATTTGAACCTCACGCGATAGAAAATAGAAAGAAAGAACAGTGGAAATTGGGGAAATAAACGAGTCATAGTAATGTGGAAGATGCTTCACACAAAGACCAAATGATGTAGTTTATCAAGGTATTTTGCAGCATTCAAAACATCACTGAAAGATGTATATATCGTTGATAATTTGCTCGATGGAAGGTGAAGTAATTCTAGACATAAATGGCTTCTTTGGATGCACCATGCATCCTTTGCCCTCAACAATCCCAATCCATTGGCAACGTCCATAGCTAACGATTCTGTATTTGAAAACAGTTTAAAATGTTATAATCAATAGTGTTGAAGTAATTCTGGATCTATACTAATTAATTCAATATCACTTTTATTATTTGAACTCAAAATTAAGATCTTATATAATATTATATTTAACTATTTTCATATTTCATTTATATACTGGTATAAATATAGTATATACAATATTTTAAAATAAGAAAAAAACTTTGTTTTTTTTTATATATATTTTAACTTTGAGGAAACATTTTTCATTTTAAAAAAAACGTATATGTTAAGTATGATAACCATGAATTCAAAGAGTATAAGCATTTTTAAATAAACAAGTTATTCAAGTTGAAAATCCATTAATGTATTTTCTCATACTCTTAAATTTTGATCCGTACATAAATTTTAGGAAGATATCAAAACCCGTTTCCAAGATAAAAAAGTATCAAGTTAAAATCATGAAACTAGAAAACAAAGTTGAAAGGCCCAATCAAAGAAAAAAAGGAGACAAGGCCTCGAAACGTAAATTAGGCTTATGGAAAATAGAAGTAGGCCTATGGCCTTTAAAACCTAATTTTTAAAAGGAATACAAATCTATGCAATAAAATAAAAAATAAATATTTATGATCTCTTAAAAGAGATTTGTAAGGAAAATTTGAAAAATATTTGTTTTTTTTATTTTTACTATCTTTTGAAAACTCAAAATAAAAAAATAATATTTTTGTGATTAAAAATAAAGGCAATGAATAAAAAAAAGTATCTTCTTAAATAAAGAGACTATAAATAAAAATTGAAAAGGAAATTGAGTGGTGTAGTATCAAGTACTTTTGGATTATTTGATTTCAGAATAGAATCTCAGCCTGGTTGCTTTGTTTTTATACCATTCCTCTCCATACCAAATTATAAACCACTTTGTGCCACAAGAAAAAAACAAAGGGAAGAAAAGAGGCTTAAGAGATATTCACCTATTGAACCTTGTGATTAAGTCCATGACTAGGCGACAATAATAGACCACGCCTTAGGAATAAAGAAACGGGAAAGAGAAAAACAACAGACAAGAGAAGTTAATAACAAGAGTGGACCTCAGAAAGTTCAAGACACATAAAATTCCAAAATGTAATTTATTCTTTTTTAAAAGGGAATGAATTTCTTTTTCCATCTCTATAGGAAGTGAATGATAATTTGAATGGATAAGTACAAGAATATTTGAGTTGAAATTAATTAAAAATAAATGTACAGGATAGATCTTAGATATTTTGGGAGATATTTTGGGTTTGGGATCTTTCTCTTGAGCAACCTCAATGTCTCTTCACAAAGCGACCCTACAACAAAAATATCAGAAAAGCTGCTTTCATTACAAAACAAAATGACCATACTGCAAAACCCAATGGCTGAAAATAAAGAGAAATTTTCAAAGTGACCTTGATTCTTGGTCTTTTATCAGCGTTTAACTTTCGAACTTGGTATCTTATCTTCTTTGAGAACAATCTGTTCTGCCGCTTCTCTTTGTACCTAAGAACACTTGCTTCCCTTCTTGCTCTCTCTTCTTCCAATACTGGCACTTCTCCCATCTAAACACAATAATCACAAGCCTTATATAGTTATATCATCCATGTCTATTTTATATTAGCAATTGGAGAGTATAAATAAAATCTATTCTAGCTAACACATTCAATTTCAATTGAGGGTTTAAACAAAAATAATGCTGGAGTTATCCAAAATAAGTATACAAAAATGTTTCTTAAATTATTAAAAAGAAACATTTTTGGATATCTTTGTGTAATTGAGATGTATTTTTAAGATGTATGTATATATAAAAGGTAAAGGATAAGTAAAAAGAATATAAATAATAATATCCAGTATCATGCACCATATCAATTTTTAATAATTTAAATAATAAAAATGTTTAGTATATCACTCTTAAATACCATGACTAAAACTCTCTCCCATCACTGAAAACAATTCCAAACAAAACCAGGAATTCTACCAAAAGTGGTTTCAAATTTGAAGCAGTGAAAGAAAAACTAATAGTTATAGTTTATATAGGGCCCTAATTAAAAGAATTGCTACTTATAATTGCAAAACATGCATTTGAATGAGCACTTGGAAAAGTAAATAAGATAGAAGGAGAAGCATGTATATGAAAGTGAGTAGTGCATGATGAGTATACTGACATAGTGACAATTATTGGTAGCCAATGAAAGAGAACACTCATCAGCCCATAGAGAGCCTCGGTCAGACCATGTATCCAAAACATCTTGATAGTTCAAGTTCAAATTCAAAGCCATCATCTTCTCATCATCCACTTCCCAAAACCCAACAATGTTTTCTCTCTTTATTTGTTGTTCTTCAAAAAAGCATTGTCTTCTGTTCTCTATCACGTGCTCCTTCCCTTCATTGTCATCTTCTGCTTCCTCCTCTCCAATGTAGGGAAATTCTTCCCATTCCATGAAATCCCAATGAAACTTACCACTACAGTGCTTTTGTGGTGCTAACTTTTGTTCTTCCTCCGTGTTGAAGACCCCTTCAAGTTCATCCAAAATGTTGAAATCTTCGTAAGTGTAAGGTTGGTTACAATTGGGTAACTTGGAGGTGATAGCTTCTGGGACTTCTTGTTCTTCTTTCTTGGGGCTTCTGAGAAATGAACTGCATCCCATCTTATCTCTGCAAAGTTCTCTCTCTCTCTCTCTCTAACTTTCTCTCGCCTCTGGACTTTGTAATTGCATAATAATGTAACTATCAATAATATGTTGAATGCAAGTTATATAAATGAATTAATTTCAATGAAATAATTGATCACTCCCCTTCCTTTGTTCCATTTTTTCTTTAATTAAAACGATACCTTATAAAAGGAACAAAATAATTAATAGAGAAAAGTTTCTAGTTAAAATAAAAAAATAGTAAAGTGTTGTATTTATTAGTAAAAGCGACAGAAATTAAAAGGAATATTTCAATAGGTTAAATAATTCAAATATTAACTGACATCATAAAAAGCGTGAATATAATTCAATGAGAAAAAATGGTATAATAATAATAATAAATGACTTAATAATAAGTGTTATTTGGGAAAAAAAATTAAAATTGACTTAATAAATAAGCCTACAGTTAGATTAACTAATAAATAACGTATTAACAATTAAAAACGGTATAAGAACTTAATTATTAATATGTATCGCATAAATATTGAAAAATAAATTTTTACATCTTTATATTAATTTCAATCGAAAAACCTTCAATTTATTTTTAGTTTTCATCCTTGATACATAAACCCACGTCTACGAGCTTTTCTCTCTGTCTCTGTTCATTTCATATTCTTGAGAAAATTTAGAATAAACTTGATCACACTATTTCAAAATCTGCTCTCATAGTATATGTAACAGCGTAACGTAAACATCCGTTTGTTTATATTGGCCCATAAGCTATGGTAATCATTACTGGAACTACATATAAATAAAATCCATGCATGTTGCAAACTATTATAATTATAAAAACATTTTTATCAAACAGAAATGTAAACTATAGACATGATGTTTATTGTTCAACCAATGTTTTTACTTATTGTTGTGATTTTTCCTCTCTAAAATATACAAGTAAGGGAAGAAAAGGTTCGTTTTCTAAAAAAAGGGAAGAAGAAGAAAGTTCTCAGTCACGGTGGAGTTTTACTATAAATTTTCTTTTCACTTTTGATCATAATCATTTGGAGTGGTGCTATTAGCATTCCAATATACACCGATCACAATCCATATTTTTAAAATTTTACATAATTTTCTAATTTTGTTCAAGTTTGATTAACTTTTTAACAAGTACTTATAAGAAATAAAAAACAAAAATAGTAAAATGAATCAAACTCTTTTTACAAGTTAAAATAAATTGATATTTTATTTTATTTTTTATAAATTTTTCCATTTAACTTTTCTAAAATTTGAAGAGTATATACATTGCTTCTAAATTATGAGTGTTGTTTTATTATTTTTTTATATTGATATTTCCTCTCTTGTAAAATATTCCAAACTAAACCTATATCTTTATTCTTTTACGAAAAGTAATAATTATTAAAATTTAACTACTTTATATATTATGTGCAATGCCAAACAAAAAGAACTATGAAAAAAATGTTTTCAATTATTATTTATAATAAATAATATTTATAAAATTAAGAACTATATATATATACAGACATACCAATGGATGATGATTGCTTCATACAAATTTAAATTACACTCTATGTAAGTGTGACAGAGAAAAAGAAATGAAAAAAGAGTGTAAAAAAGTTTTAAAAAACATTTGATTAGTAATTATTCGGAATAACAGCTAATGACAGCGGTATATGTATAAAAAACTGTGTCTAATTAAGGAGATCTTAAGTGTTATAATTAAAGTGACATATTTTAAATGGGGCAATGTTTTTATTGATTTTTAATGTGTGTTCATAGTCTTTATTAAGAAAACAAAACTTCAATAAAGAAATTATTATAGAAAAGCATTCAGTAAATACTATAAATATTTAATATTTTAAACCCGTATACCTATGAGTACACATTGAAAATTTGTTTTTATTTTTATTTTTAAAGTGCATGAATGGAAAATTTTTCTAAATAATTAGAAAATAGAAAATGATTTTGCATAAAATACTCTTCGCTTAAGTTTTTTAGAGCTTCTCGTTTGGAAAAATAATAGGACATAATGTGCTTCACTTATTTTATTAAAAAAAATCAATAATGAAAAAAAATAGAGCACAAATAACATTATTTAAAACAAAAAAGGGTTTAATTGACTGTAGGATAGAACGGCATTGTCATTTTTCTTTTCTTAATTCTTTTATTTTTTTCTAAAAAATATTTTTTCATCAAATTTTATTTTATCAAAATATTTATAGTTTTACTTTAAAAAAAAAAAATACACGCAACCTTTATGTACAGTGAGAGAGAAAGAAACAGACAAACAGAGAGCATTTTCAGTAATTCCTTGAAATCATAAAATTTTATTGTTTATTCAATTTTTATATCCATCCCAATATTATATCACTTTCCATAATTTTATATAACTTAAAGCAATTATCTTTCAACGTAAATTCGAAAGGTTTTATTTAACAAAACATATTATTTCGTCCTTTTTCGTTAAATTAATTGGTCTCATACATAACTGTTTTTTCTGTTAAGGTACGAGGTTAAGCAATCATACCTTATAAAAAAGCAAACATATTAATTTTTTTCAATAAAATTTTGAGTTCAAACTTTTATATATGAAAAAAGTCCATTAAAAAAGATTAATTTAATCATATTATAAATGTTTCTAACTCTAACTCAAATATAATTATTTTTCATAAAAAAATACTTAAAATATGAGACTAAAAATACATACCTTAATTACAGCTGCCACTTTAGCAAACTCTGATTTTGCAAGTGAATGAATAATAGTTTCTTGTTTGTTAAAATAAGCAACTAACATTGAAGATGTTCTAAATTTTAAAAGGAAAAGAAAAATCTATGCATTCGTATCATATATGAAGGAGATTCATATATTCTGCAAATCCTGATATTCTCCACGATTTTGTTCTTACTTTTTCTTTCCCTATCCTGATATGCGTATCTGCCAACGACTCCATAACAAGCTTCAAAAAGGCATATTCTGTGGAGTGTCCACCGACATTATGAAAACGAAAGAGTTAAATGATCCTTTGAAAAAAATAATTTTTAACTGAGTTTATAAAAATAATTTATAACTTTTTAATTTCATTTTAATAATTATTAAAATAACTATTTTTTATATTTATTTTAATAATAAATTTTATCATCTAACTTATATTATAAATTCTTATGTGATACAAATTTGTTAAATAAATACTTAATTAAAATGCTTTTCAAATAAGTACAGAGCAAATAAATTAAGATTTGAATAAGTCCAAAAATTGTATAAAAAGTAAGTCAAACAAACATTTTTATGCCCTTATATATAAAGATCGAAGAGGAAGACACGCAACACATTTGAAGCTGTGTTTAGAATGAACCATTAATTGCTTGTTAATTTATAATGGTAAGATTTACAGTTTCTTTCAAAGTAGAATAGCTATGTGCACGTGTCAGTAGGAAGTTAAAACTGAAAATTGAAGTTAACCATGTATGAAGATGATAATCATGCACGTGAATTTTTAGATATTAATTAATTATGGTTTATGGAAGATTAAGGGGTAGTAAATTCAAACAATTTTAAAAGCCAAATATCGATAAGTAATAAGTATATATGTGTAATTAAATGCATTAATATTATTAAATACTATAATTTTTAATAAAATTTATTATATATAACTTATTATCTTATCAATATCATAAAACAATCAATAAAAACATTAACTTTCTAATTACTTAATGAATCTTAACTCTAAATTTGAAAAAATAAATCTATATCTTTCACTACTTTATGCAATTAAATGTATTGATATTATTAAATTTTAATAAAAATATATTATATATAACGTATTATTCTGTGTAATATTACATTAAAAAAATTAACTTCTTAATTACTTAATCATCCCTAACCCTAAATTTAAAAAAATTAATTTATATCTTCCAATCACTCTTTAAAAGTAATTTCTTACTATTCCTCTTCCCATCACTTGGTGTTTAATCAGTGTATCCTTTCTTACTAACATGGGATAATTCTCACTAAAAATATTTAGTGATAATAATCGTAGATTACTAAGAACTAAAATTTTGACTAAACTCTCACTTTAGTTTCTAAGAGAGTTTGAGTCCATTATTTTAGTCGCTAAAATATTTAAAATGTCACGTTAGTCTTTAATTTTCTTCTTCGTCATTCATTTTAGTCCTTGAGCTCAGACTCCGTTAAGAAACCGTAACAGAAGACTGAGTTGTCATGTTAAGTACCATGTCAGAAGCTCAGTTAGCAAAATGACATCATTTTGAAAGATAAATTGTGAGACGGCGTTGTTTTGATTAAAGCTCTCGTTCTTCGTCAACAGTAACTAAAGTTCCCATTTTGTTCTTTTGTTTTTGTTGTTGTCTCTAATTTTCGTTATCCTTCTGGTTTTGCCCCTCATGTTTACCACCCTCTATGTCACTATCAAAAGAGCTTGTTGATTTTGAGGATTCTTCCTCTTCCACTCTTTTTCTCAAACACAATCACCTCGTAAACTCTCTTGACTCTGAGGTTGACGATGAACTCTCATTCCTTGCTATGACTGCTTTGTGCTTTATTTCACTCTCCATGTCCTTCTTTCTCTTCAACCAATACATGTACATGAAAATCATCACTAAGATTGCAATGCCAACAATATCTCCCACCACAACAAAAATACCACTCTGTTTTTGCTCCGAAGACCCACTTGGCATCATTGGAGAATCAAACTTCTTTGGCATCGTAGCAGCAATTGCAGGAGGGAAAGACGCTTTGGGATCAAACGACAGTGAAGAAGGAATGGGATACAGATTCTTTGTTGCTTCTCCACAAAGATCAGTGTTTCAATTGAAGGACTTGAGATTCTGGTTTAACAACACAGTAGAATTAGGAACCTGACTGGTGAGATTGTTGAAGGAGAAGTCAACGGTAGCGTTGACCAGAATTTTCTTTGCGAATTTCGGTGGGATTTTCCTAGAAAATATGTTGTAGAAGATGTTCAAGTAACACATGACATGACCACCAAAATCCAGAGGCAGAGTCCCGTTCAGCAAGTTCAAAGACAGATCCAAAACTTACAACATTCGCAACCTGCTGGAA